ACTGTACGTCTAGTCTTCAAAAAGAGTTATAATTCTCACACTGCCCTTTTCTTAAGAAAAAATGCCGTAACCCCTTTCCAAGATCTTATTCATGTAAATGCCCTCTGTTTTATGTACGAATATAAGTTAAATCGTCTCCCATCATCATTTAGTAATTCATGGAGTTTGAACAGGGATACAGACCCCCAATATATGCTAAGAAATGGCGAAGACTTATGCAATCCACGATTTAAGTACCAGTATTTAAAATCACATCCTCTCTTTTATTTTCCAAATTTATGGAATAGATTTAAAACGGTGTTTAAAACAGTATTGTTAACAGATCAACGTTTTCCAGTAATTTAAAATCCTAATTAATACAATAACTTGATAAAAGCTATAGCATAGATTGTAACTGTTTAGTTTGTTCCTCCCAACAATACCTACTAATAATATATTGCTTTGTTGTCTATTCTCCAGGTTCACTTGAGCTCTCATGATCGGACCTACACAGAACCCTAACACAAATATTCACCTCTCTTTCATTTTACTTTTTATGTATCACATGCTGCATAATCTAAAGTTTTCAGGGACCTGGACCAGACTGCTAGATAATGAGCTCTCCGGGTTTCCTGGCACTGTATAATCTTAGAATTCATCAATGTGTTTTTACCCTTGTATATATATTTACATGTGCCTAATAAACTATTTATTTTATTTATTTATTTAATTTCCAGAACTATTTATTTTTTTAAAAAAGATAATAAAGACGACTTATCTAATTTTCGTCCGATTGGATTAATCAATGGATTTTTTAAAATATTTGAAAAAATTCTGCATAAAAGAATGCTTTAATTTCTCAAGAATAATAACTTTTTAAAACAAATCAATTTGGTTTTTTTGCCAGGACGCAATGTTATGCAAGCAATTACTAAGATTTTAAACTATATTTTCAGCGCACTAAATAATAATGAATCTGTTTTACTTATCATGCTAGATATTTCTAAAGCTTACGACTGTATTGATAACAAGATATACTTTAGAAAAAGCTTGAAAACGCAGGTTTCAGAGGCAACACATTACATTGGTTTGAATCTTACTTACGCGGCAGGGGGTAAAAAGTCCATATAAATGGTACCTTCTCAGACTTATTTGAAATATTAGAGATGGGTCTTGTTCAAGGATCAAGTCTAAGCTGTTTACAATTATTATCTATGTAAATAACTTCTTCTAATCTAACAAACTTTTCCGTGAAGCCTTTGCCGACGACACAAATGCATGGCATCAAAATGTAAAAACTTGAATACTCTTGCAGACACAATAAATAAAGATTTAGAAAAATAACGTGTTGGTACATGTCTGATAAACTTACTATTAACTTTGTGAAAACTAAAGCAATTTGATTTTCAAATTCTCTAAATGCACAAAACAACTGTCCCGATGTTTTCTTTAAACTAGGAAAAACTACACGAAAAAGAAACAGATTCAGTTAGATTCTTTAGAATATGGCTGGATACTAAATTGAACTTTAATGATATACAGGCGATTAACTTTTTCACTTCATGCTACAGGGTGTCCCAATAAACATCGGAATTCAGTGACGAATTCGATATCGTCTTTGTTTGTCTGCTAGAGTTTATTTTATGAAACCAGTAAATGGCTGTAAAGGCTATAATGTATCCGAAAGATAAACAGTAAAGACGGACAAGTTTACTCTGTTAGTTTACTGCAATTTTCTTGTTTTACTAAGTAAAACCGTATGCAGTCAAAACATAAACAAACAAAATGTGAACATAGCAGACGAAACTCTTTACAGATTACAGCTTTCTCAGTAGGTATCACTTTACTAAATCAAAGAATTATTTAAAAAAACGATATCGAATTCGTCACTGAATTCCCATGTTTATTTGGACACCCTGTATGAAAAAAAAATAAAAACTTATTAAGCTTTGAAACCATGAAATTGCTTTATTACTCCTTCTTCCACTCGACATTAATGCTAACTTCAAACAAAAATATTGATAAGATAGAAGCATTGCAAAAGAAAGTTATTCATCTGTTGATGGGGTTACCTAAAATAAGTCACACAGCGGAAGCTTTTGGGCTTTGAACATACTCCCCTTCAGAAAATTAGGAATTTTTAATGTTTTAAAATTTTTATTTCAATTTAAAGGAGACCAATTACCCCCAACATTTAAGAAAGATTTCATAATATAAAAAAATATAAAAAACGTAAATCTTAGAAAGAGAAATGATTTTCTATTCCTAGAGTGAAATCTATTAAAATTGAACTGCTTCCTCCTCACAATTTCCCTAAAATATGGTATAAAAATAAACGACACTTTTCTAAACTTTCAAATATCAATCTTATTTCAAGTTTTAAACAGAATTTAATAGAAGATTTTTATAAGCAGAACAAATGTTTTAATTCTAACACATGCTATGTTTGCAAAAGAATCGAGGAAAGCAAAGACGATTTTACAAAGAAAAGACTAAAAAGATTAAAAAGAGTAAAAGATATAATCAAACATTGCGTAGAACCTATATCTTTTTCACAACTCATAAAGCTTGTTTTAAATTTTTTTAACATTACAAATAAATCTATTATTTTTATTTCTAAAATTTGTTAGTTAATCTTCAAAAAATACTAACAATCCTTCACCATTTTATATTTAATATAATGTAAATAATAAATATGTAACTTTCCTTTTCCTTTCCTTTCCTTTTCCTTTGATTTCTATTTTTCATGTTTTTTTAGAGTTGGGGAAAATATTCCCTCAACCTCTATTTTTGGAAGTTTTAAAATATTTTCTCCTGAAACACTTAATTTTGTATGTTTTTGTTACATTTCATAAATAAATAATTACTTACTACTACAGCTTCTCAACCTCAATCATACAGTTCCCCAACCTTAATCATACATCTTACCCAACCTCAATCATAAAGATCCCCAAACTGAATTGTACAGCCCTCTAACCTGAATTGTACAGCTCCCCAACCTGAATTGTATACAGCTCCCCAACCTCAATCGTACAGTCCCAACCTCAGCCGTAGAGCTCATATTTCGAAGACGACATTCAATTAGTTTTGCTATACTGTCATGTTTCATAAAACATCCTGCATGTTGTGTGTTACAAAGAGAATCTAAATCTGCACACAGCATACATTCAGAATTTGCAGAATTATCTTAAATCCCAAGAAACAAGAAACTTCAAGTGATTTTATTGGAATTTAACCAACTAAGGATAAGACTTTGAAGACGACTTACGGTATCATCCTTGTACTTCTGAGAACCTGAACTCTATGTTTTCTTTCTCCTACAAATCATTAGATAAGCTATTAAAAAAATATAATGGCAGAAGATTATAATTAAACTGGGAAAGGTTATATTTTAAGAGTTTCAGGTAATTTTACAGTATCATCCTCTTTGGGCAACTCTGTATTTTATAAATGTCTATTAAATGTCAATATCAAAAAATTAATGTCTACTAATGAATCTGCTATCTTTTTTGATTATCTAGGTGAAACCAAATTCATGATATTTTGTTTGTTTTTAGATATTTAAAAAAAAGATATTTTTTGATAAAATCATATAAACATCGTGAAACAGAAATCAGTGATATGATTGTTGTCTTGATTTTCTCTTTAATACATGACAGTCAAACACTTTAATATTTGATCAATTTTAAAATCTCAAATTTTTGATAAATTTGCAACAACAACAAACAATTTGGTGACTGTTTATGACCTAAATAACTAGAACTTTAAGTTTGAAAAGAATCTATTTTATTTTGTCAAATGGTGTATTCCTTCTCCATGGAATGACCCAATGGTATTAAATTGTTAAAAATTAGAACCAATCAACTTTTTTATTGTTTAACCATTAGAATTGTAAGTATATAATTTTAAACTGAGAATTAAAAGATTGAGGATTTGAATTCATTGAATTTTGAATTCTGAAAATGAACTGCGTAATTTCGATTATTTCACTTGACAATCCGAGGAGGGGGGTATACAGAATTTAATCCGAGGAGGGCCGGGGGTTTACAGAATTTAATCCGAGGAGGGGGGTTTACAGAATTTAATCCGGTTTACAGGATTTAATCTAAGTATGGCCTTTGGGGACCAGGGAGAGGAATTTTGATCAGGCCCTAGACATTTGTAAACCATGTTCAAGGGTAAATACAGTTTTTGTTTTTCAGTTTTAAGAGTGAAACGGGAGGAAAGGGGAGGGGGACCATGCCAGGAGTCTAGGGTACCCCTCACGACCCCCCCCCCTGGACCCTGAAACAGCGCGCCCAGTTCAAGCTCCAAAAAGGGAAGGCTTGATCATGAGAGCGGAAAGCGTAACACAGTTTTACTGCGTTTTACGCACTCCAGAGAGGGCGGTAGAACTGGGCCCAATAATGTCCAAGCCTGGAGACATAAACGAGGCATAATACAGTAGCGCATGAACACAGTTTACTATACACCCTGAGTAGTGAAGCGCGCATGCGCGCAAGAAAAATTACATAAGATTTTAATTAAGCTTTTATCCACTTAAAAAATTTAATTTGAAATGATTAGACATTTCTAGTTGTGACACATCTTCAGAACTAAATAGTTCGAAAATCTTATTTAATTTGCTATTGTTATTTGTTTAACAACAACTAAAAATTTCAATCTACTAGGTTTTTAGGGTGCTTCGCGCCTATCTTCTATTTAAATTGTGAACATGTTCTTTTTGTTTACATTTTAAAACAAAGAAGAAAAAAATTTTGCTGATATATCTATGTACATGTAAATTTGTTTGTTTGTATCCAATAAACGTCAAAACGGCTGAACCGATCGGGCCCAAATTTTTTATGGGACATCACGTGACCACAGGGAAGGTTTATGAATGATAAAAATTAGAAAAAAGTGCTTTAAAGGTTTTTAATTTTGTAAAAAAATTTAAATTCTTGAAAATCCGCGAATTTCTTTTCAAAAATCCGCAAAATTTTCTTCTTCTTTGATTTAAAATCAAAAGTTTTAAAAGTTTTAGTGTTTAAACATAATATTAATAATTTAGAAAAATATGACGTCGGTCTTACAAAGTTTGCGGAATTCTAAATACATTAAAACGTTAGTATAATTTTTCAAAGATTACAAAATTAATATATGAAGAATTGAGGGAGTGACAGCAATCATCAAAAATGTCAAAAATAGGAATTTCTCAAAAACCCAGGGATTTGATAAATTTCCCAAATGCCTGGGTATCTGGGAAATTTCCCAAAAACCTACAGATATTTCAGAACGGTATATTTTTAAGATTTTGGAAATTTCTCAAATGACTGTAAATTTCCAAGATACCCAGGCATTTGGGAAATTCCCAAAAATACCCAGACATTTCAGGAATTTCCCAAATACCGAGGCATTTGGGGAATTTCTGAAATGCCTAGGTTTTTGGGAAACATTCCAGATTTCATTTGAGAAATTTCCAAAATCTTAAAATTATACGACCCTCGAATACCAATAGGAATTTGGGGAATTTCCCAAATGCCTGGGTATCTGAGAAATTTCCCAAATACCTACAGATATTTGAGGGTGGTTTATTTTTTAGATTTTGGAAATTTCTCAAATGACTGGAAACTTCCAAGATACCCTGCAGGCATTTGGGAAATTCCCCAAATACCCAAACAATTGAGGAATTTCCCAAATACCCAGACATTTGGAGAATTTTCCAAATGCCTAGGTTTTAGGGAAACTCCCCAAATACCCAGACATTTGAGAAATTTCTCAAATACCCAGTCATTTGAGAAATTTCCAAATTCTTAAAAATATACTACCCTCAAATACCCATAGGAATTTGGGGAATTTCCCAAATGCCTGAGTATCTGGGGAATTTCCCAAATGCCTGTTTTAATAAAAAATGCAAATGTTGTCCTGTCATGAGAAATACGCCCATAATACTCGAAAACCTGCTTATATAATTTTTTTTAATCATTTATTCTTTTTAAATTTTCTGATTAGTCCCGGAAAGCCATAAACGATCCGAAATGATGTGGGACACCCTGTCTCTTTACCTTGTTTGAAAATACTTATGTTTTCCAGAAAATTCTTGAATATTTCTAGTTCATTGCATTATTGTTAGTAAGCAATACAATGAAGGCTGCACAACTCAGATTAAAAACCAATCTGGTAACTTGGTTTCAAGAATTTTGTAAAATGTTATGAACAAAAGATTTTATATATAACCGGGCTTTAGGGCACTTCGCGTCCGGTTGCCGAGCAACAATTAAGAAACTGAAGATGGGGGCGAATTGAAGATTAGTTTGATTTTAGTTTGACGATTTTTTTATTTTCTAGGTTGAGAGTTGGAGGGCTTGGGGCTCTTAAACTTATTTTTCTTCTTGGATTTCTTTATTTTTTTATTTGTTCCCTCTCCTTCCTCTCAGATTCATTTAGAGTCCTCGGAGGCAAAAATATCGGAGGTAAGTATTTTAAAAAAATCGGAGGTAAGTATTTAATAAATATCAGAGAAAAGTATTTAAAAAATATCGGAGGTAAGTATTTAAAAAATATCGGAGGTAAGTATTTAAAAAATATCGGAGGTTAGTATTTAAAAAATATCGGAGGTAAGTATTTAAAAATTATCGGAGGTAAGTATTTAAAAAATATCGGAGGTAAGTATTTAAAAAATATCGGAAGTAAGTATTTAAAAAATATCGGAGGTAAGTATTTAAAAAATATTGGAGGTAAGTATTTAAAAAATATTGAAGGTAAGTATTTAAAAAATATCAGAGGTAAGTATTTAAAAAATATCGGAGGTAAGTATTTAAAAAATATCGGAGGTAAGTATTTAAAAAATTTCGGAGGTAAGTATTTAAAAAATATCGGAGGTTAGTATTTAAAAAATATCGGAGGTAAGTATTTAAAAATTATCGGAGGAAAGTATTTAAAAATTTCGGAGGTAAGTATTTAAAAAATTTCGGAGGTAAGTATTTAAAAAATATCGGAGGTAAGTATTTAAAAATATTGGAGGTAAGTATTTAAAAAATATCGGAGGTAAGTATGTAAAAAATATCGGAGGTAAGTATTTAAAAAATATTGGAGGTAAGTATTTAATAAATATTAGAGGTAAGTATTTAAAAAATATCGGAGGTAAGTATTTAATGGAGGTAAGTATTTAAAAAATATCGGAGGTAAGTATTTAATAAATATTAGAGGTAAGTATTTAAAAAATATCGGAGGTAAGTATTTAAAAAATATCGGAGGTAAGTATTTAAAAAAAATATCGGAGGTAAGTATTTAAAAAAGGTGGGTAAAACATAATTTTTGACGATTATCACCTAAAGGGACTGTTGTTAACTAACAAGGGGGTATATCAGAATCACAACGGAACCCTTGAAATCTTTATTTAATTCTTACAGTGGAAGCTTGTTTTCTTGCCAAACAGTGTTAATTCTGATAACTCCCACATTATTTTCTTGGATTTCTATTTCAGAAAAGATATGTCCTCTTCATAAATCTGTTAAACCTTTTCCGATATTTATCCGACGTCGTCGTTTTTGTAGTCTTAGGGTTAAATTCTAACTGTTCTCCATTGTTTTTATAGGATTGTTCACAAAAATATTTGATTTTTATAGGATTGTTCACAAAAATATTTGATTTTTATAGGATTGTTCACAAAAATATCTGATTTTTATAGGATTGTTCACAAAAATATCTGATTTTTATAGGATTGTTCACAAAAATATCTGATTTTTATAGGATTGTTCACTAAAATATCTGATTTTTATTGGATTGTTCAGAAAAATGTCTGATTTTTATAGGATTGTTCACAAAAATATCTGAGTTTTATAGGATTGTTCACAAAAATATCTGATTTTTACGAGATTGTTCACAAAAATATCTGAATTTTATTGGATTGTTCAGAAAAATGTCTGATTTTTATAGGATTTTTCACAAAAATATCTGATTTTTGTAGGATTGTTCACAAAAATATTTGATTTTTATAGGATTGTTCAGAAAAATATCTGATTTTTATAGGATTGTTCACAAAAATATCTGATTTTTATAGGATTGTTCACAAAAATATCTGATTTTTACGAGATTGTTCACAAAAATATTTGATTTTTATAGGATTGTTCAAAAAAATGTCTGATTTTTATAGGATTGTTCACAAAAATATCTGATTTTTACGAGATTGTTCACAAAAATATTTGATTTTTATAGGATTGTTCACAGAAATATCTGATTTTTATAGGATTGTTTACAAAAATATTTGATTTTATAGGATTGTTCACAAAAATATTTGATTTTTATAGGATTGTTCACAAAAATATCTGATTTTTATAGGATTGTTCACGAAATCTGAACTACTGCAGAACCCAATCGTAGGTGTTATGATTGGAGTCCTAGGTACATTTTAAAATTTATTAAAATACAGTTTTCTTTCTTTTTAGAAGATTATAAAAATACAATGAAGACGACTTTTGACATCTAATATGTTTTTTTCAAATTACAAGATTAATACAAGAAAACATAGAGAAGCTGTTAATTGACAAGTTTATGTGTGTCACTGTCCATGCTGTTTAAACGCTTGGTAGAAATCAAAAATTGAAATCTAAAGTTGTTTTCATCGTAACCACACCTAGACAATTTGAATTTTCTAAATGGGGGGGGGGGCAAGGGGGGATTTTAATATATTTAAATTTTAAGATTTTAATGAAATTTTTTTTTTACATTAACAAAAATTTTCTGCTTTTCCTAACAGAATATCCCAGTCGCGCCTTTGAAGCTGATTTTTTTCATTCAGTGACTGTTCTTGTTCAATCCTCATCCACCTCCACCTCCATCATTGTTGGTTTAGTATCCGCAGGCGCTGCTCCTGTCAGGTCAGTAGCTGCTCCATAATATTTGGTTGGTTTAGTATCCGCAGGCACTGCTCCTGTCAGGTCAGTAGCTGCTCCATAATATTTAGTTGGCTTAGTATCCGCAGGCGCTGCGTCTGTCAGGCAGTAGATGCTCCATTATATTTGGTTGGTTTAGTATCAGAAGGCGCTGCTCCTGTCAGGTCAGTAGCTGCTCCATAATATTTAGTTGGCTTAGTATCCACAGGCACTGCTCCTGTCAGGCAGTAGCTGCTCCATTTTATTTGGTTGGTTTAGTATCAGCAGACGCTGCTCCTGTCAGGTCAGTAGCTGCTCCATTATATTTGGTTGGTTTAGTATCAGAAGGCGCTGCTCCTGTCAGGTCAGTAGCTGCTCCATAATATTTGGTTGGTTTAGTATCAGCAGGCGCTGCTCCTGTCACGTCAGTAGCTGCTCCATAATATTTAGTTGGCTTAGTATCCGCAGGCGCTGCTCCTGTCAGGTCAGTAGCTGCTCCATAATATTTGGTTGGCTTAGTATCCGCAGGCGCTGCTCCTGTCACGTCAGTAGCTGCTCCATAATATCTAGTTGGCTTAGTATCCGCAGGCGCTGCTCCTGTCAGGTCAGTGTAGCTGCTCCATAATATTAAGTTGGTTTATTATTTTTTTTATAATTATTATTTAGTACTGTTATTCCTATTATTATTTAGTACTGTTATTCTTATTAATATTTATTACTGTTATTTCTATTATTATTATTTAGTACTGTTATTCCTATTATTATTTATTACTGTTATTCCTATTATTATTTAGTACTGTTATTCCTGCTTTTATTATTTAAGACTGTTATCCCTATTATTATTTAGTACTGAGTACTGTTATCCCTATTATTATTTAGTACTGTTATTCCTATTATTATTTAGTACTGTTATTCCTATTATTATTTAGTACTGTATTATTATTTAGTACTGTTATTCCTATTATTATTTAGTACTGTGATTACTATTATTATTTAGTACTGTTATTCCTATTATGACTTAGTACTGTTTTTCCTATTATTAGTTAGTACTGTTATTACTATTACTATTTATCACTGCTATATCTACTGTTCTTTTTTTTTAGTACTGCTATACCCAACACTGTTCAGTACTGCTATACCTAACACTGTTCAGTACTGCTATACCTAACACTGTTCAGTACTGCTATACTTTATTATCATTTCGTAACTGCTGTACTTAGCAAGGTTTATAGTACTGCACTTTTCTTAATTTTGTTTTGAAACTGATACGGTTCAGTAAATGCTACAGTGATATGACTATTATTATTTAGCACTGCTATACCTATGATTATGGGCTCAAATATTGGAACTTCAGTTACAAACACAATTGTGTCTTTTTCCCAGGTAAATTATCAGAAGTCATCTTTAAGCATTGAAAAAATCGAATTATTATTATTATTATTATTATTATTATTGTTATTATTATTATCATTATTATTATTATTATTATCATTATTATTATTATTATTATTATTATAAACTTATTACTCTCGGGAAAATTTAAACAGTGCTTAAATATAATTTAACATGCTCGTAGGACGGTTATTTGAGAATGTGAACTTAAAATTATACATTTTTGCTCGAATTAAAACTGAATTTTGCAGTTGCATTGTAATGCATATTTTTGAGTTCACATGCTAAATATCAGCACCATAGACCATAGTTGCTATGCTTACACCCCTGTCCCACTCATACGAAAATATTAGGCATTCCTATGAAAACCTCAGGTTTCGGCTATGCGCTCTGATTTAATCTTATAATAACCCTATTGAATCGATTTGTTCCGGTCTGTAAACTAAAAAATTGATTTTAAAACTATTTAACGATGAACCTATATTTATACTGAGCTTGTCAGTCTGTTTGTTTTGTAACCGATAAACTTAAAACGACTGCACTAATCAGGCCCAAATTTTATGTGATACCTCTGCACAGATGCAGTACCTTACAAAACATGAAAATGATTTAAGATGGCCGACTTTCAGAGTAACATAAAGTTAAAAGCTACGCTTTACAGGAAAGGGGACGCGCGCAAAGCGCCCTTAAAGCCTAGTTAATATACATTTATATTATTATTTATTTTGCATCAGGTGATCTCTGGTTTTCTTGAATATATAACTTCCAAGATGGTGGATCACATAGCATCCTCAAAGGTAAAAATTAAATTTTCTTGAATTATTTTAATATTTTTAAATGTTCACATTTTCACGACTTTTTAAATCACTATTTTTTTTTGGCTCAATCCTTAAGGTATCTCCATCTGTTTCACGTGACTAGTATTCTGCACTACAATTGGTGAAAGTTCTGGTCACGTGATACAGACGAATCATATTATCAATTATCAGCCGATACAAGCAAAACAGTGGAACTTTTGTGAAGAAGTGTTCATCCATTTCAAGAGTTAATTTCCCGATTCCCAGTGGTACACTTTAATCAATCGTTTAATCAAAACTGTCGAGTTTATCCTAGCTTTTATATCTATAATTCATACTTTTTAACCTCGGGAAGGAATTAACAGAATTGAACATTCTTTAAAATAGAAAAAAGACATTACGGGTCATTTGAGATGACGTTTTCCGCCACTCTGAATTAATCGTTAACCATCAGATTCAGACTTGAAATTTTGAAAATGGAAAAAGATGAAGACGCAAATTATTTATTTCTAGGGAAACAGCAGCAGCCTCGGCGGTGAAACATCAAGTCCAGACTTTCTTAAGAAAGTGACCGGTCCTTTTACAAAGGTAATGGAAATGAGTTTTTGTCACAAACTCTAATTTTTTAATCATCTTTGCAACCCGATGTCGTAGATCTTTGATATTTCTAACTATATAATTCTGTTAGATCATATGGTCTAAGTTTTAAACATCAAAGGATTACATCATCAGGTTGCGAAGGTATAGGGATCAGGAAATTTAAGCTTTTGGCAAAAACTCAATTCCTATTTATAATTTGCTAAATACTTTATATTTTTATTGAACCATATAAAATCGTTCATGGTGAGTGTTTTTTATCTGAATACCAATTAAAAGGACTGTAAAGGAAAAATGAAAGGGGGTATAGAATAAAACTTGACAATGTCAGGAGTTGATCTTTACATTTAAGACATTTATCTGATGTTCCTGTCTCGAGAAATTGATATAAAACTGTGTCAAATTTAAACGAAAATTCATACATATGCAATTTAAAAAAAGTTTGTAGTATTAAACAGATAATTTACCAACAAATACGCAACCTATCAAAAATAAAAAAATTCTCCCGGTTAATACGCCTTGTTGCTATACCTAGCGATTTCTATACGTTGGATTTCTATAATGTTTGACACTACACATTGATACACTTTATAGACGTACCCGTAGCCAGCATATATTTCAACTAGCCTGGGAACTTAGAGTTGCCCAAGATACTCAATAGTTACTCCCACCGTAAATTACGATTTTAGCTATTGAAAAGGGGACCCATGCTCAATTTATAATCTTGCAACCAAGCTAAGAATGTTCCTGTGGTTCTCTCGAGTTCCCCAATCAAGATTTGAGGCAAACCGGTTCAGAGAATCTTGAGTTATGATCGGACAAACAACTTGACACTGTATTGATATCTATGCTGACCACTGTACAATATTCTAATCCTGTTTTAGTCAATAATCCAGCTGGATAAGCATGTACTAGAAGCTTGGGCTGCTAATGACCCGGAATATGCAAATGTAACAACAATACTTAAACTAAATTGCAAGGTAAACATATAGTGTTCATGTTAAGGGGTAGAATCATAAAAAAGTTAAAATATCAAATTAAATTTAAAAAGTAGGAAAGAGAGAATGCCTAGAAAGAAGAAAAGACAAAAAGTCATGGTTAAAAAGCATAGAGAATAGAATATATAGAGAGGAATTAAAAGAATCTCTCGGTATGAATTTTTTCAGTCCCTTTCAGCCTGAAAGGGAGTTCAAAGTGTACAAATCATGTAAATGTTCACAAATTATATGCAGTAGAGTACATTAATACAGTATGTTCCCTAGACTATTCATTTCAACTTCGAATTTTTTAAACTGTTAAATAAACTTTATAATGAATTAGGTGAATAAAAAACATCATTTGATTTATAGTTATAACGGAAAATCATCGTTTGTAAAGTGGAAGGCATAGAGTTTATGTGAAATGATCATTGGTCAATTATGAAACCAGCCTATTTTATAATTTGGTTTTCTTTTAACAATAATTTTAGATTTTCTTTAAAATGATATTCCAGGGCCCAAAAGGTTATATAGCATAAATATGTGAAGTACACCTGCAGTATGGAAACAGTACAACAAAATGGCCGTTTTACACTTTTTTCTAGTAAATTCCCCTCTAATATATATTCTATTCTCTATGTTAAAAGTCATGGTTAAAAAGAAAACACAAAAAATGGAATTTGTAGAAAGTAGTAAATACTAATTTAAAGTGTTAAAAAATAGAAAAGAAAAAAATGAATCTTAAGCTATAGCAACTATAAATAAAAAAATAGCATAGAAAAAAGTTGAAAAGACTTTTGGCCCCAGTCTTTTCTAGGCGCAGCAAACCCAGCAACTATAATTTATAGTTTCTTTGTTTTTTAAATAAGTCTTTTTGATTTCTTTTAGTCATTTATCAAACCTCGCTTTGAAGCGATTTCCATGTTTTATTTTGTATTTTTCGTAATTGTTGTTTGGCGCCAAATAATCAAAAAAAAAGTTTTGACGTTGAGATGAATATTAGATCTATGTATAGGGTGAGAACGAGACAATGTTGGAGAGGTGTCCCTATCTATTTGCCTTTCTAGGCCCACAAGGTAAACAAACAGCAGGCCCGTAGCCAGGATATTTCCTAGGGGGCCGGGGTGCAAACAGCAGGCCCGTAGCCAGGATATTTCCTAGGGGGCCGGGTTGCAAACAGCAGGCCCGTAGCCAGGATATTTTCTAGGGGACCGGGGTGCAAACAGCAGATCCGTAGTCAGGATATTTCCTAAGGGGCCGGGGTGCAAACAGCAGGCCCGTAGTCAGGATATTTCCTAGGGGGCAGGGGTGCAAACAGCAGGCCCGTGGCCAGGATATTCCCTAGGGGGTTGCAAAGAGGGGTGTTGTAGTATGGGATCAGGATCACCAAGTGAAACGTAATAAAAAATTTTGTAATTTTAATTTGAAAACTAATATAATAGCTAAAACTAGTATTTTTAGCTTGAACTTAATGCGACGGTGAAAATTCGATTTTTCCTGAATTTGATGTTTTGAAAATTTTCATTATTTTTTTTTAGCTCAGTATTGGATAAAAGAAAATATTGATAATGTTGATATTACTGCTCACGTTCACGCTGATTTAGAATTGTCTGGACAAAATATTGAAACTTTGAAACTGAGGCAATGTTACGGCAAAATTTAAAGAACTGAATTTTTGATAAATACTGGAACATATTATGTTACATTGTATGTATGTATATCGACTTATGCGAAAGAACAAAAATCTGCTCGATCAGACAATCAATTACCTCGGGAAAAATTTGAAAAATTTAATTAATAACATCTCAATTTTTCAAGAGAAGATTTTACCAAGAAACTACAGTAATAACCAGAAAACAATGGAAAAGGAAGACGACATAATAGCAATATTTGCGCGTACTTGATGTTATTACAGAGAAAAAAGTTTCACTAGACGCTTATTAAATCAATAATTTGATGAAATGGGTCTGTTTCAATTGAACAATTCTTGTGTTTCTTGTCCATTAGACTTTTTAAAATTATACCTTGATTCTAAAAGCCGTCTTCCTATTCCGGAGTTTTCTGGTTATTACTGTAATTCAAAAGGAGGGTGCAAATTCTTCGTTGCACACCCATTTTAGGAGAAAGTGGGGTGAACCTGACCCCTTGCACCCCCCTAGCTAGGAGGGTGCACCTGACCCCTTGCACCCCCCTAGCTAGTGGGGTGCACCTGACCCCTTGCACCCCCCTAGCTAGTGGGGTGCACCTGACCCCTTGCACCCCCCTAGCTAGTGGGGTGCACCTGACCCCTTGCACCCCCCTAGCTAGTGGGGTGCACCTGACCCCTTGCACCCCCCTAGCTACGGCCCTAAAAAAACAGAATAAATGGTGGACACCTTTATTGTATAGGATTTTCAGCGGAATGACAAAATCGCTGTGCAATTTTTTTCTGCGTAAATTTCGCGCAAAAATTGTATGTCAATGTCAAATTCATGCGACAATAGCCATGAAGGATTTTTTAGTTCTTTCTTAATGTTACCGTTAGTTAAAGATCTTAATTATATTAACGGCGTAACGGTCGACAGTTTATGCTGACGATTATTTTTTACATATAAATAAAATATCGCCTTGAGTTTAAGTGTACACGCAATAATTCATTTTCTAAATTCTGTAAGTTTCATTCAATTTTAAGCAGAAAATTAACGAAAGTCGCCGTTATTTTTGTAGCGTTCATTCTTTTTTATTTTACGCACTCTCCGCTCAATTCCATTTTTTTTGGATTTTTAGTGTTTGCTCTTTTTTACATAAACGGTTATTTTCCTTTTGCAATTTCCTTTCTGAACAGAGAAACCACAATAAAAAATAATAAATAATTTTTGAAGAGAAGATGATGGATGTCCCCTCTTAGCTTTGTTTTATAGGATCTGATATTTGAGACAGATATATAGGAATCCTATAACTTTTATAGCTCCGTATTCTAGGATCTGATTTTGGAGACAAATATATAGAGATCCTACTCCTATAGCTCTGTATTCTAGGATCTGATATCGGAGACAAATATATAGGGATCCTAGTCCTATAGCTCTGTATTCTAGGATCTGATATTGGAGACAAATATATGGGGATTCTAGTCCTACAGCTCTGTATTCTAGCATTTGATATTTGAGACAGATATATAGGAATCCTAAACAACTATAGTTCTGTATTCTAGGATCTGATATTGGAGACAAATACATAGGGATCCTAGTCCTATAGCTCTGTATTCTAGCATCTCATATTTGAGACAGATATATAGGAATCCTATAACATCTATAATTCTGTACTCTAGGATCTGATATTGGAGACAAATATATAGGGATCCTAGTCCTATAGCTCTGTATTCTAGCATCTGATATTTGAGACAGATATATAGGAATCCTATAACATCTATAGTTCTGTATTCTAGGATCTGATATTGGAGACAAATATATAGGGATCCTAGTTTTATAGCTCTGTATTCTAGGATCTGATATTTGAGACAGATATATTGGAATCCTATAACTTCTATAGCTCTGTATTCTAGCATCTGATATTTGAGACAGATATATAGGAATCCTATAACATCTATAGTTCTGTATTCTAGGATCTGATATTGGAGACAAATATATAGGGATCCTAGTTTTATAGCTCTGTATTCTAGGATCTGATATTTGAGACAGATATATTGGAATCCTATAACTTCTATAGCTCTGTATTCTAGCATCTGATATTGGAGACAGATATATAGGAATCCTATAACATCTATAGTTCTGTATTCTAGGATCTGATATTGGAGACAAATATATAGGAATCCTATAACATCTATAGTTCTGTATTCTAGGATCTGATATTGGAGACAAATATATGGGGATCTTACTACTAGCATTGGCCTTGGGTATGCTCTCAGGGTGTCTATTAGGTAAACGAGGGGTATTTTGTAAAATACCCTTTGGAATAAAATGACATTTTTTTCCATGCTCAACCATTCAGCTTTTTTACCCAAACATACAAAAGTATACGTACCAGTTGTATCTATAAAACTGTCCAATAGGAAGCTGTTGAGGCTAGTGGTAAAACTTTATAATAACAGCAATTAAACACAAGCTTGTCGTCTTCCTATTCCACAGCTTTATTGGTATCACTGTAGTAAACTGAATGCAACCTGTTTAATTCTTGAGAACTAATTTAAAATATGAGAATAATTGTTTGTTAATTATCTACATTTTATTTTTGTTTTCTAGGAATGGTGAAATCTCTGAATTCTTTGCTGGGAACCAGAGTAAAAGGATTTATAGAACGAACAATAAATACAGATATTCCTATTCGGTAAACAAAACAATAATTTTATTTACCTTCTTTTGTAATTCAGTTATATCCTATTTATGTTACATCTATATATATAATTTGCTTTTCTGTCTGTCTGTTACCAAATAGCGGGTAACAGAAATGTATTACTTTGTTGATTGTGATGTTTAGTTACTATCTTACTGTTCTAGTATTATATTGCGCAACTACTGTACTGAAAGCACTAATCTGTACTATATTGTACATAATAAACTGTGCTGCACCATTACTGTACAAGCCTGTATTTCAGAGGCCTGGGTTGGTTGACCGGCTACATGTACATGTTTGTCGGAGCTGTAATTACTGTACTTGTACAATCCAGTTCAGTATTTACCTCCACCCTAACACCCCTGGCAGGGGCGGGGCTCATCAGCTTAGAGAGGGCGTACCCCCTCACCCTGGGATCTAATATTGGAACAACGACGACATCTCTCATCGCCAGTATCGCGGCAGGCGGGGAAAATGTTGCTGATGTAAGTATTTTTTATAGAATTAGTCAAAATAAAGATTTTTTAAAAATTATAAATCTTTTATTTCAAATAATCCATTTTATTGTTCAAGTGTCTCATATTTCATTTTCGTGAAATAGAGCACATTAATCTCCCCAGTAGGGGATGCGTCATTTTGCCGTCCATAGGCTGTATGTACCCTGTACAAAACATTCTCTCATGTTGCCTAAAAGTCAGGTCGGTACTTCAAATGAACCGATATTTTCAGTGTTTAAAACGTAAACATAATGAGTTTAATTCTTAATTTTCTGTGATACAATTTTTAGCTAATTGTTGTCTTTGTTCTTTGTTTAGATTTTAAACTTTATAATTCCCTAAAAATGTTTTCTTGACATATTCCCGAGATATGGATGCATCAGTTATAGCAGCGTCAAATATAAATCCTTTTATGATATTAATTATTCATTGTTTACAGGCGATTCAGATAGCATTGGTTCACTTGATGTTTAATTTAATTGGTATAATACTGTTCTATCCAATACCAGTTCTGAGATGGCCGATATCTCTAGCCCGTACCCTTGGAGATAATACTGCACAGTACAGGTATACTAGAGCCCGTACCCTTGGAGATAATACTGTACAGTACAGGTATACTAGAGACCGTACACTTGGAGATAATACTGCACAGTACAGGTATACTAGAGCCCGTACCCCTTGAAGATAATACTGCACAGTACAGGTATACTAGAGACCGTACCCTTGGAGATAATACTGCACAGTACAGGTATACTAGAGCCCGTACACTTGGAGATAATTCTGCACAGTACAGGTATACTAGAGCCCGTACCCTTGGAGATAATACTTTACAGTACAGGTATACTAGAGCCCGTACACTTGGAGATAATACTGTATAGTACAGGTATACTAGAGCCCGTATCCTTGGAGATAATACTGTACAGTACAGGTATGCTAGAGCCCGTATCCTTGGAGATAATGCTTTACAGTACAGGTATACTAGAGCCCGTATCCTTGGAGATAATGCTTTACAGTACAGGTATACTAGAGCCCGTACACTTGGAGATAATACTGCACAGTACAGGTATACTAGAGCCCGTATCCTTGGAGATAATACTGTACAGTACAGGTATACTAGAGCCCGTATCCTTGGAGATAATACTGCACAGTACAGGTATACTAGAGCCCGTACCCTTGGAGATAGTACAGTACAGTAAAGGTATATTAGAGCTCGTACCTTTGGAGATAATACTGTACAGTACAGGTATATTAGAGTCCGTACCCTTGGAGATAATACTGTACAGTACAGGTATTATAGAGCCCGTATCTTTGGAGATAATACTGTACAGTACAGGTATACTAGAGACCGTATCCTTGGAGATAATACTGTATAGTACAGGTATACTAGAGCCCGTACCCTTGGAGATAGTACAGTACAGTACAGGTATATTAGAGCTCGTACCCTTGGAGATAATACTGTACAGTACAGGTATTATAGAGCCCGTACCTTTGGAGATAATACTGTACAGTACAGGTATACTAGAGCCCGTATCCTTGGAGATAATACTGTACAGTTCAGGTATACTAGAGCCCGTACCCTTGGAGATAGTACAGTACAGTACAGGTATATTAGAGCTCGTATCCTTGGAGATAATACTGTACAGTTCAGGTATACTAGAGCCCGTACCCTTGGAGATAGTACAGTACATTACAGGTATACTAGAGCCCGTACCCTTGGAGATAGTACAGTACAGTACAGGTACAGTACAAGGGTCAACACAATTTCAAGTGACCCTCCATTTCAAGTGAGGCATTTTTGAGTTACAAATAAGTACTTTAAAAATCTTTATCTGTGGCACAATCGGGAAGATGCAATTGTTTTTCTAACAGGAAAAATCTAATTCTAAAAATTTATTTTTGTCTTCAGCATAAATTGCCAAGTAACTTTTATAGTTATAAATTTTCAGATAGTAAAAACAAGAATATCGTTCTTGTTTTTACTCAGACGTAGTTTTAAATTGGTACTATAGTGAATCGTACATATACATAAAAATATATATTCAAAAATAAAGAATTCAAAATAACTAAACGATGAACAACATTCATGCTTACACACTTTCTCAGGGTGAACATTTTACATACATATTGCAATAAATACAATTACTCTCATAAAGCCTCAAATCCTTGATTGTTTAAAATCAGACCAAAAAGTATACTCAACACCGTAACAAAAACTACTCTTTCGTACTCGGTTTAAGTGGAGTGACCATGGCTAGACATTGTAGTTGTGCTGAGAATACAGTACTATAGAGAACAACTTTAGGATTTATTTGATGAGACATTTTTACGGTTACAAGTTTTAAATAAGAGCATAAAAGTCGCTTGTAATATTTCACCAGTTGTTTCGGTCGATAAATCTGCTAGCAATAATTCTACAGTAAACTACATAATAAGAAAATAATTGTAAAAAACCGTTTTTTATCTCCTGACTGAAGCAACTGGTGAAATATTAAAACGACGTTACACTCTTATTTAAAAATTGTACAATGTAAAAACATCTTATTGGTAAATCAAATGAATCCTAACACTTTTCTTTATGATACTGCATTCTCAGCTCTACTACCGTGTCTAGCCAGTCGCTCCCTTTAAGAAAACTCCCTTTGTGCGTGCTTTTTGTAGAGTTTACTAATATTAGATGGATTTCTCTGGTTTATCTGATCGGGATGTTTTTTCTCTTCCCCATAATAATTTTTGCAATCTCCCTGGCCGGGCCCCTCGCCATGTACATCATCCTCCTTCCCATCGCCATCATCATCATCCTCGCTATCATCATCAACTTAGTTCAGAACCATAAACCTTCAATTCTCCCAGGTGGGTTCCTTGTCAATACCAGATTTTAAGAACGTTTCGGAGATTTTTCTTTTTAATTGGTGAACTTTAGAATTTCAAAAATCGAAAATAAACCTTCCCCAAGGTCAATTTGTGAGGTGTCAGAAAATTAAATTGATCTTTCATTTGTCTTAGCGTTTGTTGGAGCAAAACCAACAGAAAAAGCAAATATTAAAAAATATATAGATCGTGGGATCTCTGCCTTAATATATGCGCTTAATTATTGCGCGTAAAGCACAAAATCAATATCTCAATACTGTTTTCTTAGGATTTCTAAAAAATTGGGACTTTTTGCCACTTTTTCTGCATTCCTTGGAGCCATATGACAAAATTATTACCAGGTATCAATATCATTATCATTATCTTTATTCATTAGTATCATTATCATTATCTTTATTCATTAGTATCATATTATCATTATCTTTATTCATTAGTGTTATTATCATTATCTTTATTCATTAGTATCATATTATCATTATCTTTATTCATTAGTATTATTATCAATATCTTTTTTCATTAGTATCATATTATCATTATCTTTATTCATTAGTATCATATTATCATTATCTTTATTCATTAGTATAGTTATCATTATCTTTATTCACTAGTATCATTATCATTATTTGTTATTATCATTATTATCTTTATCCTTATATTTAAAGATTGTGTGGTTGGTGTAGATGTTGTAAGCCTTCAACTGTAAGTCCTACAAGTAATACTGGAGAAAATGAAGAGGAAAATACAGAGGAAGGAAAGAAGGGAGAAGAGAAGGAAGGGGGGAAGGAGAAAGAAGGCAAAATGGAGAAGGAAGCTTCGACCAGTCTGAAAAAAATGACCAAAGACAATGAAGGGTTTGAAAATTATGAAGTTGTATGAAACTTAAAAAAATGGAATTTATAAAGTACAAAGATTGTTGTGATAGTTTGAGCCTGTACAAATTTATCAGTATATACCTATCTATATACCCACTCGGATAATAGCGTTGGAGCTCTTAGTTATGTATTAGCAGTTAGCATTTGTATAACGAAATTTTTGATGTACACTGTACATAATTGTAAGTTGTTTGAAAAAAATATAATTATTTTACTTTTGACTACTGTTACCGATCCATGATTTCCCCATCAGTTTGTCGATGTTAAGTTACTGTACAATTCCTTGGGATATTTTTATATTATAAACATTTATTCACACACAAAGATAGAAATACATATATAAATGGCGTAGTTTAAATTTGTTTAAGTAAATTTTTGAATATATAGCTTTCAGGGGCGTATTCAGGAATTTGTCCAGGGGGGGGGGGCTCAGCACCCGTTGGGGCCTGAAAACCCGCTGAAATCCATAGATTTCACTGGTCCACCCCTGAATAGGCCTGATAGCTTTTTAAAAGAAAAAAGAAAAATAGCAAAATTATGCACAAATAGGCGACATTGATCATTACTCATTACATAACATATTTATCATTTCAGTTATTACGTAATCATCGAAACCTTCAACATATAAATTATTCGTTCTTGTAAAACCGTGATCTTTCCACAAAATATGTCATTTGCTTCTTAACTAACATTTTACTAAGATCAGAAAGATTTACAGAACAATCATTTGCAATGGAAAATAAATTTTTGCCAAGAACTGCAGTGTTAAGGTCATTTTTGCATAAATTAGAAAGAAATCTAATGCAAAGCTTAGAACTTGCTTCAATAGATTTAAAGAAAGACAAACATCTACTGGTTAACATAGTTATTACATGTAAACATTGTGAAATACTTTCAATCAGATACCTATGCGTATCTCTAGGTAAGAATTCAAATAGCAGTATTCCATGCTGTATACAATTTTGAAACACATTGGGAACTCAAGTCCCAAATAATAGATCCATAAAAACTACAACAATAAATATTATACAGTTTCAAAATAACATTAGGACTGTTAAAATAAAATTCTTGGTTAAGGGAGTAAACTTTTTAAAAGAAAATAGATCGTTTTTTATTGCAATATATGGTCGTTGAATTATCACTTTGCAGAACATTTCCTAAATGTTTCAAGTCGTTGACAAATGGTAAAGGTAATTCATTCAATAAAATTGGGGTTATTTCATTATAATTAATCCTTTCTTTAGAAAAAAAAGGCATTTAGTTTTACATTTTTCGATTCTAATATTTGTACTAAATTTCAGTTTAGTAGATTTGGCATAATTTTCACAAATTTTCACCATTTCCTGAAGACCTGTTCTGCTAGGAGAAAGCAGAATAATATCATCTGCATTTACCCAGATGCCCATAAAGACACCCTGGATTTGGCATCCAATCGTTGAACAGTGTAATAACTTGATAGCTTTGTCAAAGTATATACAGAATAGCACAGGGGAAGAAACTGCTCCTTGTCTGACTCCATCTTGTACATATTAAAGGTATTTGAGAACGCATTACCCCATCTAACATTACATTTTTGATTTGAGTAAATGAACATGAGCAAAACTTTGTGCCGGATTGACATGGACCTTATCCCAGATACATTGCAATAACTCCATCTTCTTCTCCATTGCTGAAATCCTTTCATCCATCATGGCATTTGAGGTGTCCTGAAATGCCTTGACACTAAATTCACTATTTGTCGAAAAATTGGGTATTTGGAAATTGAAAGATACTGTCACCACAACATTTCAATGCCCAGCTTTATCAATTTTCGATATCTTTTCCCAGAGATCTAGAAAAATGGTAGATATTTTTCGTTTTTCTTGGATATTTCCCTCTGTATCCTGCAGTTGAAAAGCTTGATACAAATTTGATCTAGAGTTCTTCATCTGTTCCAAGGAGAACTGTCGACTAAGTGTATCCAGAACACAGGTTTTATCAGCAACTCTATCAAAAGCATAAAACATTGATCCTAAAATTCCATCAACTAGAATCATTTTCCCAGACCTTGTATCTTTATAAAGAAAGCCTTGATGACTGACTTGTTCCTCTACAGTGGTCTCACTATCCATTTCCTCCAGGGAAGTATCTAAAGAATTATCCAAGGATTTTTTGGGTTTTGGTCCCATTTTCGCCACAAGATTGGCGAAAGCCAGATTATATCTAGAATCTTCCAGATTGCTATGAATATACTTTAAATTGTTTGTAAACATTGAATTGAGAAAGCAGGGTGTAAACTGCCTAAAACACTCTTACAGAGAGATGTTTACTACTAAACTGCTCTGAACTAATTAAGTGAAATAACATCTCGCTCTGCCAAGTTTTTGTAAAAAAATCGCGCATTTGCATCTCGTCAAAAGAAGATTAAATTGTGTAAACCTTTATTTTTAAGAGAAATTAAAAAGTTTACAGTTTCCCGGAACCCTGCTTTGATAAAAATGAAAGAATTTCAAAAAAAATTTGTAAAAAAAATGGACGATGAAAACAATTCAAAAGTATATATTACTATTACTATTACTTAGTGCTATTAAGTTACTTGTAAGCTTGCAAATATTATCATTAAAATATAGTAAAAGGCTGCGTGTTCTTAGATACGGGCATCATTTTCGTTACTGAATTCAAAATGAACAGAGAAAAGTATGAATTTAACTGTTAACGATCGTCTTATTTTATTTCAGTCGAAACGTGACCAAGCGATTTAAATTTTCTTTTTGAAACCTAACCATAACCACTGAACGAACAATTTTATTGAAAGAACAGTTTTTCTGAATGAACGTTAAGTTATAAAAAACGAACAAAATTGAACAATAATAAACGATGATATTGATAACGAACGGATTCTAATTTTTAATAAACGACTGAAAAATAAATCGAATAAAATGGGTATTTAACGAGCGAATTTAAAATAAACCGAACTCACCAAATTTAAAAGAACTCACCAATCTCTTCACAATAACGAATCTTGCTACGCGATAAAGTGCATATTTTAGAATTTGCATAACATTTAAAAAATAGGCTTAATAAGCCTAATACATTGATAACCAGAAAACTCCTAAATAAGAGTCGACTTTAGCTTTAGCGCCTTTGAAATTAATCCTTTCTAAAATGAGACCTGCATGAACTGATTTCTATTCATTTTTTTCTTTCGTTTAAAGTCTCCGAATATCAAATTTCTTATTTTTATTAACAAATCATGGTACATTTTGTAACAGAGATAAACATACCATGTAGATTCACGTATAACATGCATAACAACAAAAATATTACTTGGCATGCAATCATTTTACAAAGGAATTGAGTCTTTGACACAAACTCTGATTTTCTAATTCCTATATCTCTGCGACCCAGTGTCGTAGACCTTAGATATTTCAAACTATGAATTCTGTTGCATTAAATAATCTTAGTTTAAATATCAAAAGTCTACAACATCAGGTTCCATAGATGTAGGGAATAGAAAAGATGAGTTTGTGGCAAAGACTCAATTCCTTTATTATTTTAGGCTTTTGATAACATTTGTGCAATCTTAGATTTTAAAAGTAAGTTAATGGTACGTTAATGTAGTTTTATAAAAACCTTAAATAAATTTATCAACTAAATATTTGTTAATCCTTAAAAATACATGACTAAATATCTTTGGTGTTGGTTCATAATTAATTGGCACATTTAAAGAATTGAGAGGAAGGGTCTGAGGAAAAACATTGAAAAAAGTTATTTAAAGGAACTGTAGATGAAAAATGAAAGGGGGTATAGGCTGAAACCTAAGTATCTTACGTTGATCGAGACCCTTGAGACTGTTGCTAAATTCCGATAAAATTTCTCCATTACTTCTTCTGAGAACCCGCAAATGAAAATACACAGTTTAAAGAAACTAATCATGGATAACCATTTCATACTTAATCTATAGACAAGGCTTTTAAGTGTACAGTTGTAAATCGTACATTGCCATCTATGCATGGAGGTTCACTTGAAATTACGCTTTCAGTCTCTGTAATAACAATGAGATTCATCAAGCAGTCAATAGTCCTAATATCTCGATGGTCCTAAAACAAATTTGAACAATATCATTGAAACGAGCAAATAGACTTATTTAGAAATTATAACATATTGAAGACAACAATTCATATTTTGTAAGCTAGGACTCAGATTAATAGGTATCACAGCATTAAGATTATTTAACAAGAAAACTTTAATTAAAAGGTTTATGCTCACAGTAAAATATTTTTAAAGTTTAATACAGGGTGTCCCAATAAACATGAGAAATAAGAGACAAATTCAAAATCGTCTGAGTTAAGAATAAGCATTGTATAGAGTAGTCGGCGTTTACATCAATACAATGAAGGCGAACTTTTTAATTAATTAATTAAATTAATTTTTTAATTCAATTTCTATTTAGCCTCTGATTTCCAACAAGTTTTTTTTTTCAAATTAAAAGTTTACTAGAAATCATTAAAAGAATTTGTTAAATGACAGCTTCTCTTTGTTTCCATTTATATGTGCATCCAAGCTGTTTGAAAGCTTGGAAGCAATCAAAATTGAAATAAAATACCGTCTTCCTTGTATTGATATATACGACGGCGACTGTTCCTAATTTCAAAATGTTTAATATAATAACGTCTGCTATAGTGTATTTAATGAAAATGTTAAGAGACTGTAGAATTGAATGACAAATTAAAATTCGTCTTTAAATCAGGTAATATTACAATGATAATTTTATAGTTCTGAGTACACCGAATGCAACCAAAACATGAAAAGACATATAAATTCTCTAGAGTTTAGAATCTTTTTTACAAACAACTTACGGATTACAGCTTTCTTCGTAGAAAGCAGTAGTATCACATATACTAAATAAAAAATCATTTAAAAAGACGATCTTTAAATCGTCACTTTTTTCGTGCGTTTAATGCTTGTTGGGACACCCTGTGTATCACCCAACCCCTCATCTAGTTTTGAACAATGTTTAACATTACACAAACAAGAAATATATGACCTGCAATATACATATATAGGAACTATATAGGTTAATAATGACTAGAAGTTGACAGAAGTGGTAAATTTATGAATTCAGTCCAGAGATAGGTTAATAATGACTAGAAGTGACAGAAATGGTAAAGGAACTGAGTTTTTGCCGCAAACTCAAATTTTCTCATTTCTATATCTCTGCAACCTGTTGGTGTAAACCTTTGAAATTTTAAACTTAGATTATTTGATCTAACAGAACTAATAGTTTGAAATATCTAAGGTCTATGACATTGGGTTGCCAAGATATAGGGATAAGAATATTTGAATTTGTGGCAAAAACTCAGTTCCTTTATGAATTCAGTCCAGAGAAGGTTAATAATGACTAGAAGTGACAGAAATGGTAAATTTATGAATTCAGTTCAGAGGAGGCCTGAACTTTTGCTAGGTATTGCGCTTAGCAACAGCAATCATGTACTCGATTACCAATGTGTAAACTTTTAAATTAGGGATTTAACGCGTTGTCGCGCGGGGGATTGTTAATTATCAAGAACACCATAAATAAGGAATTATTCAGTGTCCCTACGATTAAGGCTCTAAAGTCTTTATAAAGCTTTTCGCTCATATGCATATATATATATTTATATGTTCGCTATAGCTGGCCAAACAGCTGGACTAAAGTGGCTGACATCTTTTAAGGAAACCCACGGATATCCCGGGGTATGAGAGGCCTGAAGAAAATCCGATTTGTTTTTCATGACGGAAATTATTTTTTAAATTCACGGGCAATGCCGGACCCTTCGGCTACTGTATAATAAACAGTCAAGGGGTACTGTCTCAACCATGAAGACCCATATTTTAGATAAAAAATGTCGGTCTCAGTTTAATTTGATCATGTACTGGTTTACGATCAGGAACTAATAGAAACCAGGAAATCTGACTTGTTTTGTTTTAACCAATATGATATTAATGAACCATTTCTCTCATTTATGAATTTTCGTCTTCTGTAATCTGAGGACACCACCCGCCATCGCACTAGACGAAACTGTATGGATTATCCTTGGCTCTACCCGCCATACCACCCTCGACGTTCATCGCCTCAAGGGAACCAGCTCGCCGGCGTATGGATATACCAAGAGTCCAAACCTAAACACAAGAAAGAAAAATATATCCACAACCACAAGTGATTTGGACGTAGGATATAAAAAAATAAAATGTTTGCGTTGTTTTCTTTTCTAAATTTGTCTAAATTTTATTAAAAAAATTTAATCTTAAATTACACTTGATCTGATTTTTTCCATTTTAAGAGTTTTTTTTGTAAAAAATATTCTCTAGCTTTAAACCAAAGATTTCTAAATAAAAGTGTTAGGAAAAAAATATGCCTTTTTCTCTTTTTGAAAAGGTTCTCTCTATCTGTTTACCTCTGTAAGGAGGATTATGAAAGGATCTGTCTACCTCTGTTTGAGGAGGATTATGAAAGGATCTGTCTGCTCCTGAATGCTGGATTGTGGATCCTGGATTTTGTCTGACAACAAACTCTGACAAGGTACACTCACTCCGCCCCCCGGACTCAAGAGGGATAGGATGAACTCTGAAACAAATCATGAAATATTATTTCGGATTAAAATCATAAATTAGTATTTATAAAGAAGTAATCTCTGTTTGTCTGTCTGTCTGATGTTGGGATGTCCGATCATAACTCAGGCACCCCCCTAGACCACATTTGCCAAATCATTTAATAAGCTTTACAAACCAAATTAATAGCATAAAACTTACATAGAATGTTAATAATATACAATGTACTGTAGGTTTACAGAATATCATGTTTACCCGATATTTGCTACAAGTAACCTTGTACAAAAAATAAAAAAGAGAAAAAATGACAAAAACGACGATATATTCCTTACTAATGTTTAAATATAGGGTTGAAGGGTATTTTTGTGAATGAGAAAGGGTCCATAAAAATTACGGTTCCTTGGAGAAGGTTTATTGACCTGAAGTGCTCCAGCAGCTCAAAGATTGTGTTGAACCAGAGATGTTGAACCCGACATTGTCCATCTCCATTCAAGGTTAATCTTAAGTGCTTGGCTCTACCCTGCATAATGCATAATGCATATAGTTGGTTCGTTTTTTCTGGGCTGGATTTTTATTTAGGGTCAACATTATCAGGCCCGTAACTGGGTGTTTTAAGACTCTGGAATAGGAAGTTGACTTCTAGACTCAAATTAAAAATTCGCACTGCTGAAAATGGACCATCTACAGGTTTAAAGTCAAAACACCTAAACTTTTTCTTTGAAATATATTAATATGCAGTCTACCAAATTATAATCTCAATTTTCAGGAAATGCATCTAGGGATTTTAAGTTAATCCATTTTAAGATATTGTAGAGGTCTAAAAACAAATGAATCTTTAGTTGCAAGACTTGATTAAGCTGATTCTGGTTTTTATTGCGATATTTTTGGAACTGTTAATGGCACTGATGGTAGGTTCCCCAAAGGAATTCAGTTTTTGCCACAAACCCAAATTTGCTTATTCATATATCTTTGCAACCTGATGTTGTAAGCCTTTGATATTTCAAACATGAATTATCTGATTTTACAAAACTCATAGTTTGAAATATCTAAAGTCTGTGACTTTTAGATGCAAAGATATAGGAATTATAGAAAAGCAGAGTTTGTGACAAAGACTCAATTCCTTTTGTGAATTTTTCTTAACAGTCATAAGGCATGTTTCAGCAAAAAATCAAGTAAGTGAACAGTATGAATGTTTAAGTTCTGCCTAAAAAAGTTTTTTTTTGAAGTGGAATCCTTAAAAATGACATCAAAAAGACTTTTTTAGGCCGTATCTAGTCAGTCAGGCAGTTGACTTTGGACTTTGATTTTTTTACTACAGTAAAATATCTAAGGCCTAAGACATTGGGTTGTCAAAATATAGGGATTAGAAAATCAGAATTTGTGACAACGACTCAATTCCTTTGTCAGAGGTGTCAAAGTACTTCATAACAAATTTACAAAATAAACAATGAAAACATTGGGCATAATAAATCTCACTAATAATGATAAACATGTATTAACAATAATCATAATAAACCTTATGAACAATGAACATAATAGCATGCAAGAACAATAAGCATTATATTAAACAATAAAGATGAATTCGTTAAGCATAATAATCATCATGTGCATAACAAAGTAAATAAAAATATGCATAAACAATGATCAAAATAAACCCATGAACAATGACCATAATAATCATACATGAACAAATCGGAACGAGCATTTAAAATGCAATATAATTTAAAAAACTGAGAAGGGGGTTAAAAACAAATAAATAAACATAAACCTCAAAAGGGTGCATCTATAATCTATATCTATATATATAAAAATGTAGTAATCTCTGTTTGTTTGTATGTCCAATCATAACTCATGAACCACTAAACCAATTTCCAATAAATTTTGATTGGAGAACTCGATGATTAAAATCTGAGATCTTGGTTCAAAATTTATATTAAATAACTATATAAAAAAGTTAGTTCCAGGCAAAGCTAGTAGTTCCATAAAAATATGCATGAATACCCCAAAATTAAGAACCAATTGATCGAAAATCAGAAGTTAATGTTTGCTAATTTTGCAATAGATCGGATGCTTTAATTTTTACTCACCTGAAAATTAAAGGTAAGAACTAATTCTCCCTTCCTAGTCTCACTTTGCCTAACAAGGAATACTCCGTGTCCTGTCACAGACTGATGTAGAACCATCCCTGCAGCGTCAGTTCTACAAACCACAAGGAGCTGCTCAGGAGATAAAAATAACTATTTAAGGCGGTTAAGGTTATGAGAATAAGGTCAAAGTAGGGATGATCTTAGCTCTATGGATTAGTAGAATGGGATAGAAACTTGAACGCTTGATTATTGATTGATCCTTCAATTAATTGCGCAAAATATAGTGATCAATGCTTGATCCCCAGATTCACAATACAAAAAGTTCTGATAACTTTAATTTTCAATCCCTTTTCTTTAAACCTGAGTCACATTTGAAACCTGCTTGTGTAAACTTTAGATAATTTAAACTTTAAATATTTGATCAAGCAAATTGTACAGCTTAAAAATCAAAGGTCTACTACATCAGGTTACAAAATTATATGAATTAGATAATCTTAGGAGCTTAAGGAGGGTTCGTTTGTGAAGTAAGAATGGAGTTTCCTAAAGGACTGTTAATGTAAAATGAAAGGAGGAATAGGCTAAAGCCTAAACATTTTAGGAGTTGATCGCGACCAATATTAGTTCTATCTGATGTCCCTGTCTCTAGAAACTAATATAAATATATATAAGTTTTAGACAAATCATATTTAGCAAATACGAAACAAACTTGAAAACTAGGCTAACACAGAGGTGTCTGAAAATTTTAGGTACGCTTCTATTATTATTTAAATGTGATACGAATACATTTTTAATAGATATAATTGTTACGCCTGCATCAATTAACCAGAAATTCTACCAATGGCAGTGCAGTATCTGGTCAGGTGGCTCTGTCTGTATAATCTGACCATTGCCATTCAGTATCTGGTCACAAAGCTTCGTCAACTAGATTACGTATATATGAGTTTTTATATAACTTTGACACAGTTTTATATCATATCAATTCCTCGAGACAAGGACATCAGATAGAAATAATATTGGTCGCGATCAACACCTAAAATGATTTAGCTTCAGCCTATACCTTCTTTCATTTTACATTAACAGTCCCTTAAAACTTGAGATAATATATAGTCCTATAAGCCCGACCTAGTGAGAACACCATGAAACCAAGGATACTCAACTAGAAGATTGAACAAGTCTGAACCTTCTCCTGTAATAGTATCAAAATTAATGTTATTCAAAGCTCCTTTTATAACTGGATATATCTGATGTTTGAAGATCCACCTGGAATACTGATACTGGAAGCTGACCCATGAACGGACCGAACAGCAGCACCAAGCTCCCCAGCTAGTCTAGGAGGCAGGTCAGATAAGCTAACAGGTTGACCAGCATCAGGATAGTCCTGTGATCCTCCAGGGTGAAAGTGCTGAAATAGATATTGTATTATAAGATTATTGAAAATATCTATCTTAAATTACCTGCATGGATTGGGATTCAGTAAGTCCAAGTCTGAATATTCTATCTCTAGCTAGGGAGGAGTCCCTCATCATAACCCTGAAGTAAGGAACTATTTAACAACAAAAATAAGAATATCTTAATAAGAATGCAATAAGAAAGTTGACTTAAGAAAAATAACTAGATGAAAATAAATTAACACAATGGTCAATTGTCATTGGTCGATGCTCCCAAAGAACTAGAGCAAGAACTTAAATACTATGAAAAAAATAGAAAAATAGTATAGAACAATAACAAGACATTAAATGAGAGCATGAATAATACTAAGAAATTAAACAACATAAGAATAAGAATACTTAAACACCTGGATACAGAGTTCTGCCTACTTGATTGAATTAGCATCAGCCAGTGCCTACACTCTACAGCATCCACAGTCTCAATAATATACTCCTCAGAACCTTCAACCTGAGAATACAATGGCTTCAATAAGGAACTTGAATTTTGATAATCCCTACATAGTTTTCTTGCAGTAAAAAAGAAGCAAGTAAGTTTTATAGTGAAACCACAATTTAAAATACAAAATTACAAACATTGATTCTAGATAAAGCTTTTAAGTTTTGCATTGTGAATCAGACATGCCTCTCTATAAATGGAGGAACACTAGGAAGACACTTTAACTTTTAATCTGTTTATCAACATACGAATTAAATGTAGTTGGGTAAAAACATTTAATTTCAAAAGTTATCAACATCCTGGTGGTCAATTTAAGGTTCTGAATTCAGGTCTATTGGATTCACAACTTTTCGGCCTCTTGTAATAAAATATGCAAGATGAAGTATTGGAAGGAATATGAGTTTTCTAGAGAAAATATAAATCAATACAAATACAAATACAAACTGATGCCATACACAATATTGATATCACACACTAGAAATACAATTAAGTACCATGAATGATGAATGATTATATTAACGTACTCTAAAGTATTTGCATTTAAATTTTTCAATTATTAGTACTTAAACTTGGGATTTCTAAATATTCTTATCATTCATAGACAATAATCATTGAGCTTATAAACATAGCGTTTGATTTTATGATACCTATCAATTCTAGAACTCTAAAACAATAATGACTAATTATTTAGATTGTGTCATGTGTGTGTAAAAAACAATTTGTGTTTCAATAGATTTCTCAAAAAAATTTAACAAATAAATCCTTTGTACTTTGTATAATCATATTTTTTTGTTGATAAATTTTGATGTTAATATTTGAGCCTATCATTTGATCAAATTTAAAGAGGTGTTAACCATATATTGTCTCATAATTTTAGTATATTTTCCAGATCCTTGATCCAGATTCAAATTCTGAAAAGAATCTGATGAGTTTCAAATGAGTAGACATAGATCCTAAGGAATGATTGATAGTTTAAACATTGCTTGGAAATCAACCGGGAAATATTAAAAAATAAGAAGTCATTACACAAAGCATCCTAAAATTGTTGTTTTTAAGTGAAAATCTTTAGATATACAAATGTTATCTATTGTTTGCAACTCGGTGTTATAAATACTTTTGTTCTAGAAATTTTCCAATGTTTAGTCCTAGAACCTAGGACCTGGGATTTCTGAATATTCTTATCTCTCGGGTATAAAATTAGAAGCAATTCTATTCTAATTCAGTTAAACATTGACAACCAAAATGTCAGTAAGCCTCGAAGCAAAAAGTAAAATTGGATATTCTTTTGGCTTTGGTGTCCAACAAGGGATATCCAGTCCAAAGCATGCCTATAAGTTTGGTGGAGTTCCTGGTACAGCGCCACATATTTACAATCCTGTTAGATCCAGCAAACCCAAGACCAACTTTAGATTTACTCTAGATGAAACCTCTACTGGAAAACTAACAACAAGACAGAGAGAATTTTATGAAGAGAACGGGTTCCTTGTTATTCCAAACCTTATCCCTGATAACCTTATTGATGAAAGCCGTCAGCGATTCCTTGACCTGGTAAACAGGAAGGTGGATGCTGGAAGCATTCTTCTCATGAAGGACCTATCTCTGAAGGACAAAAAAGGATTACCCAACGAGAGAATCTACAATAAGATTCAAGATTTTGTTTGGGATGAAGTTCTATCAAAGTATGTGTGTCTACCTGAGCTGCTAGATTATGTACAGTGCTTTACTGGAAAGGATATCCGTGCAGTACACTCAATGTTGATCAACAAGCCCCCAGATGTAGGCACAAAGACCTCAAGACATCCTCTTCATCAGGATTTGCATTATTTCCCCTTCCGCCCAGCTGACCGTATTGTTGCTGCATGGACTGCCATGGAACACATAGATGACAATAATGGGTGTCTAGTAGTACAGCCTGGAACACATAAGGGAGTTCTTGAACAGCATGACTACCCTGACTGGGAGGCTGGAGTCAACAAAATGTATCATGGTATCCGAGGAGCAGAAAATAATCCCAGGGTTCACCTTCATATGGAGAAGGGAGACACAGTTTTCTTCCATCCCTTAATTATTCATGGATCAGGAGCAAATGTCTCCAACAACTTCAGGAAAGCCATTAGCTGCCATTACTCCACAAGTGATATTGAATACATTGATGTCAAGGGAACAAGCCAAGAAAACATTGCAAAAGAGGTCGAAGACATTGCAGCAAGAAAGGGAGTTGTCATGGATTTTGTTGATCTTTGGGAGTTTAGATCCCGAGATGTCCGAGGAAAGAAGGCTGAGTCTCATCTTTAAAGAACTTCAATCTTTCGGTTGAGCCAGCCCGCTTTAATTGAACAAATCCATACTTTGCCAAAATTGAATCTCTTTTTGCTATATTGCTATATTTAATTCTATATCATTTATATTCATGAATATTTAGCATTTTACATTATCGTTATCTCAATAAACTATATTTATCCAAAAGTATATTCATTAGTTATTATTATCAAAGTCTTTACAAAAGGTTTGAAGGGTTTACATGTTTTAAAATTGTATTCTATGAAAGTAGAGATTATATATTCTTGTTCTTTTAAAGGCTTTTCAAAAATCAGAGAAATTCCACATTTTACAAAATTTGCTTTTATTACACTATGCTAAATTTTACCCTGATGGATGATGAAAGCCCACATTTTTTTCTTTCTCTTTAGATTTTCTTTCATTTTCCTATGCTTTAAATTTTGTATTGAGCAAAAGGCTTTAGTTTTCGTTTTAGAATTTAAAACTATTAAAACTTTTTTTTCGAGAAGTTCAAACAGATTGAAATGATAAAAAAAAATCACAGTTATGTTAAAAAACAAAACAAAATAAATGTACATAGTGTTTGGAAATTTGAAAGTGTTGGTAGATTTGACATCGCTAAAAGAGAATTAAATGTGTCAGAATGAATTATGAAATCATTAAGCAGTTTATAGAAACTTAGTTGAATATGTGGGTCTAAAAAGGAAATCATTATCCTTAAAAATAATAAAATTTCCAATGCTGCTGCATTTACCTTATTTACCTTAATAACAAATGTATTCTCTTTGTCTGGCATCTCCAGAGCCGAAGTTTCCCTGGCCTCTGTGATAAGGACACAGAACACACCCGTCTTAGGTCTAGAGGTTGACCTCGGCCAGAACTCAAGCATATATCCTCCGCCAGCCTTCACTAAGTACACACTCCCTACTAGCTTGATATTAACTACTCCACTAATCTTCCCTACAGTGTTTAGGATCCATTTCATTTTATTGCAAATCTGGACAACTTGTATTTTTAAATCTGATTTATAAATAAAAACATTAAAAATTATTTTCCAGGCATGTCAAATATAATAGTTTCCCATGTTACAATACTGTGTGTAAGTGGAAGTGTGTCCCTAATAATAGTTTCCCCGGTTACAATACTGTGTGTAAGTGGAAGTGTGTCCCTAATAATAGTTCCCCTGTTACAATACTGTGTGTAAGTGGAAGTGTGTCCCTAATAATAGTTTCCCCTGTTACAATACTGTGTGTAAGTGGAAGTGTGTCCCTAATAATAGTTTCCCCTGTTACAATACTGTGTGTAAGTGGAAGTGTGTCCCTAATAATAGTTTCCCCTGTTACAATACTGTGTGTAAGTGGAAGTGTGTCCCTAATAATAGTTTACATTTCTCCCAGTTCCCTGGCTCATCTGCACAATCTCCTGAAAACGTCATATCATCAATTTTTATTAATTCAAATATATTTTTTTTGATGATTTAAAGGGATCGATCGATGTTTGATTAATGTGGGAGATTATTAGACCAAATTTATTATAAAGTTTCACCAGATACTTTTTAACCAAAAAGAATGGTAGAAGTAAAGTGATATCTAATAAGACTTTTAATTTCGTGATTTCAGCTTTTGTTGTCTCATTTTTGAGTTTAATTAATGAATACAACATCTGGCTTCCCAAATATCAAACAAAAGTTTAAAACTAAAGATTTGATAATATTCTACTAAAACCCTGAAAATCCAAATTCTCATGCTATACTTGTATATACTTTTGAAAAATAACCCCACCTCCTTTTGAAAATCATCATTTTCCCAATAAGTTAGGTATATGATAGGTAGATTAATTCTTGAAATTATATGCATTTACATAATAATTTTAAATTTCTATAAAAGAAGTTTTAAAAATTATCAATACTTTGAAAGAAAATGATATTCTGGGGAGTCTTTATATAATTACAGCTTTAATATTAATGAATTCCAAAAGCAGCTATTTTGAATAAACAATTTTGAAATCTGTAAAACTTCTTAGGTTTATGTGGAACCTTCTAAAAGTCCAAAACCTTAAAAGGTTTATAAAAATACACCTAGCTATGTCCCATCACTACCTGTAAACCTCCTAAAGTATTCTTTATATACTCGATTTCTAAAATTCATCTTTAATAAGTTTTAAATGAATTCTGGAAAGATCTGATATTTTAAAAGGTTTCGAATGAAAACCTCCTACTTTCCACTCTAACTAGATCGGAATGGGATAAAGATAAAGCTAGAATAATATTTTAAGAAATCTTATCCTTCCCCTTTTCCATGCATGAAAGTGCGATGGTGATGGACCAAACCTCTGTAGAGAAAAAAAATTAGAAGTTAGTTCCACATTTATTGAAAATATATTTCGGTCTGGGTTGACCCTCGTCAGTTCTAACGATATAATAACCATCAAAATCTATAAATTTTTTTTAAATTGTTAAAAAAACCACAGAAAATAAACAAACAAAAAAGTTTTAAAAACAAAAATTTGGCTGTCAAATGGACATAAGGGAAACGAACTCAGATTATGAGATGGAAAAAAGATAATTTGCGAATATTCACTTTAAAAAAAATGTTTTAAGACAATACAATTATTATTTCTTGAGATTGTTCATGTCACAAAGATTAAAAACAAACTGTTTAGATGTATGTGTATAAAGTGGTGGTGGGGGTCGATCTAATCAACGAACTTTCACGTAAATCAGGGGGAGTTGTTTAGGCCAGTATTACTATGGGTGTTGTGGACCCTCCCCCCCATCATATTTCTTAACAACCTTGCGTGATTATGCTAATCCTTGTCAGGTTAGGTTTAAATACATCCAAGGTTGCCATGATTTTGCCATTATTTTGATTAATTATTATTGGCAAGTTATAGCTTTTGTCCTGGCATTGGGTACGCTACTTCCCTGTCTTAGCTAACATTATTGCCATATCTATGCTAACATTGCCTTGTAAATGCTAAAAACTTGCACTATCAATGCTAACATATTGCCATGTAAATGCTAACAATTTGGCCCTGTCTATGCTAATTTTTTGCCCTATCTATGCTACCATTATTGCCCTGTTTATGCTACCATTATTGTCCTGTTTATGCTACCATTATTGCCCTGTCTATGTTAACATTATTGCTCTGTCTATGCTTACATAATTGCCCTACCTTGTTATGTTACCTGGAATATAAGCGACCTGTCCCTCCTTTACAACCTCCACAGATAGTTTCACAACCTTAGTTTTCTTCTCAGCTCTGAAAATATAGCAGGCGTTGAAATTACTAAATTCTTAACTATAATTCCAAGAGTAAATATCTTTATGAGAACAACCCCCCCCCCTTACCTTTCAATATGTTTGTTTTCGTGTAATATTGATAAGTATTTGAAACATATTAAAATATATATTTAAAACTGAGAAATATAATTTTATTCTTCTTATCAGTATGAAATCTCGAGCTAACAGAAATGGAAAAATAAAAGGGGCGTAATTTCTAGTGACCTCCCATTTAAAAGAGAGGCATGTCCGCTTCACAACGGCACTCTTAAAACTTATGCCTGTTCAAAAGTGGAGGAAGTCGTTGTTTTTCGATCTTGAAAAGTAAATCCAATTAAATTATACTTTTTTAATCGACAAATTTTTTTTAAATTTTCATAATATTTGTTAGGATAGATGACTATACCTTGGTTTACACCCGGAGCTAGAGAGTTCAACTTCATCCGAACCCTGAAAACATCCAAGGTTAAAACAAAGACGCAGATAAAATTAAATCTTATATTTCATTAAAAAACTCCAATGTTAAAGAGACTGAATGGTGTGATACTGCGACTGAGCTGCACGCTACATATGTCCTGCAACTAATGAAGAGGATCCTACACTACCTTGGTTCTAAGACGAGAGACTTAATGAGCACAATAATTTATCGGATATATGGAATACATATATTTCCACTTACTCTGAAGAATATTACTCGGTCAAAGTCACTTTGAAGCAGAACCAAAATAAAATATGAAAACCACTCAATTTTTTTTTTTTTTTATCACTCATTGTCTAAAAATAAAAGAGTTAACAATTCTTATAATTAATAGTATTACGTTAAACAGGGAAAAATATTTTTTAAATCTCCCGACCTTTCCAATGTAAACTAAAAATGACACATATTTCTGATAATTAAAATTATCTAATTACAAATAAGATTTGTTGCAGTGTGTGCAGCTAATGTCTCAAGTTTGTGTAAATTAAAATACGATAAATCGTATCCCAGTTCGAATAGTGTTAATGTCATCATTAGCTTAAAGAATTGTTCTAAAAATTGTAAATTGTAACTTTTGTAACTTTTATTCATTAGAAAAGGATAAATAATTCTGAGAAAATTACGCATAAAAGCGCTGATGAGTTGTAACTTTTATCCAGTAAGAAAGGATAAATAACTCGGAGAAAAATTACGCATAAAAGCGCTGATGAGTTGTAACTTTTATCCAGTAAGAAAGGATAAATAACTCGGAGAAAAATTACGCATAAAAGTGTTAATGAGTTTAAAATATTGTAAAGTTGAAAAAAAACTCATGTAAACATTAAAAACCCACCGTTCTTAAAAAATAAAGACAAATAGTCAAACTTACCTGGTAAAGTTAAAAATATACTGTAACGTTTACTCAAACTTGTATAAATTTAAACTCGTAATTTAGCTTGTACTATGATTATGAACGGAAATATAAATATTTTTATTCAAATTTTTTTTCAAACGACCGGTCATGCAAGGATACAACCTTGAAACCTTTATCTGAGCAAATTTGAAAAATAACATCGTCTATCTGACTAGAAACGTGTTTTCCCCATTCTTCTTTTAAAGTAAGACGCAAGTAAATTTCGCAGAGAAACCACAAATAAAAATAAACAGTTTAAATAATCAAAAATATGGATATCTAATTAATACTTGATCAGACGAAACTTTCAAGGTTACCGTTGGAAATCGGGCATTGCCATCTTTGAATGGAGAGTCAATAAAAAGTACGCTTACAGTCCCTTTACATGGTCAAAAAAATACAAAAAGCATCATTTACGATTTCAACAAAATTTCCATCTGGTTTTGAACTTTGGCAATTTTCTAAACCTTACTCTTTTGTTGTAATTCCGTCTATTTAATTGAGTATTTCTTTAAAATGACTTATTCAAAAACGAAGATATCGCTTCTTTCCAATTGAAGGGTACGAACCTGTTTATGAAAAATATTGAATGTTTTGCCATGAGCAATCCCTCTGAAGGAGAACTTGCGAAAGAAAGGTCTGGGTTTGAGAAGAGCCGGAGAATCAGGTTCAGGATCAGAGAAATCAGTCGGGGGTCCTCTACAATAGAGGGTGTCTCAATAAACATGGGAATTGAGTGACTACAGGGCATTCCAATAAACATGGGAAATGATTGACTACAGGGTGTTCCAATAAACATGGGAAATGAGTGACTACAGGGTGTCCCACTAAACATGGGAAATGAGTGAGTAAAGGGTGTCCTAATAAAAAAGGGAATTTAGGAAGGCCAAAGAATCAGTTTTGTCAATTACCAATTTGTCAACTTGCTTAAATTTACCACTATGTACAGTACATCCTAGTTGAGCACAGTGTTAGAGTTTCATGCTTTCTGGTAATATGCTTTCCGAACTGGGAACTGCAGTTGCATACTGCATATTGTTGATTATACTAATTTTGATACTAATTTATCAATAATGGACAAATCTTCACAAATTGGCAATAAGGGTATTTCTTAACACTTAAGTGATAATCTAAATAAAGTGGGAAGCTCGTTACAATTTCATTTAAAGTAGGTAGTACAACATTAAAATTTCATTTAAGTGGGTTGGGTAGTACATTATAATTTCATTTAAAGTGGGTAGTACATTAAAATTTCATTTAAAGTGGGTAGTAAATCATAAATTCATTTAAAGTGGGTAGTACATTATAATTTCATTTAAAGTGGGTAGTACATTATAATTTCATTTAAAGTGGGTAGTACATTATAATTTTTTCGAACAGTGTGAATCTCATCTGCTGCGTTGCATATGTAAGTTTTAACGGATAACAAATTTTAAAGAAATAAAACTGGATTAATAAAATTTTAAAAGTCTTCTTTGAATTCTTATTTTGTAAGAACTTATGAACGTTTAACATTTTATAACTTACTTATTAATAAAGACAACATTATATTCCATTGATATCTTACCAAAACCATCATCTATATATTATCCGCGTAATTATTCAAAAGCTAATATTAACAAAATTCTTGAAAGATACTTTTTAAACTTAGATAACTTCAAAAAGTGGTTAATGCAATATGATTTCATTTCACACAAAGTGGCATCAAATTTATTTGCCCCCCCCCCCCGGAGTTCCTAGGGTGGTGCACTGCCCCTCCCGTATATACACCCCTGGTTACATATTACGAACCTGTTTGCAACATGATCAGCTAGCCTAGAGGTGAGATCTATTCCTCTGTCCCCCCAACCCTGAGCAAATCTAGCTGAGAATATATGAATATATTTCTGTAGAATAAGTGCTGGTGTAACCTCTTCATCTAGTACACCACATCCTCCTCCTAGATGCAGCGGTCGTATTTTAATTAATTATAAACTATAAAGATCCAGACTACAATGAACGCAACTAAAAGACGGTCTTCCATGCTGCAATATTGAGGACACACTATTCAGGGGCGGACTGAGGAGGTGCCTGGGCTCTCGCCCGCCCCCCCCCCTCCCCATAAGCTTCTAGAGGGGGGGGGCCGGCCCGCCTCCCCTTAGGAAATTCATGATATGAAATAAAAGCATCAAGGGATGAAAGATACAAGGTAAATAGTATTGAATAAATGTCCTTTGAACTGAAATACCTTTTTAAATTGTTTTCTCTTGTTTATATTTATAATGACTATAGCATGCAATCTGGTTGTGTGTCTCATCATAAATCATAAATCATAAATCATAAATCATAAATCATAAATCATAAATGTTTATCTCGATCTCTCAAAAAAAGGAAATTATTAAAAATGAAAAATGTCCAAGGTGGTTTAAACGGTTATTTATTCTTTCAGAGAAGCTTCCAGGTGTCCCAGGGAAGCTTCCATTAGACCGATTAGATATATTTGACTGCTGAGCCTATAACGTAAGGTTGTAAAAGCTTCGTGAAAGGACTGTTGTACTTTACAGTGACCCTCCATTTAAAGTAAATCAGATTTCCGTGTTTTAGTTTTGAGAATTCTTTCATTTTCATTTGTGAATTCTCTGCAAAAGTGACTCACTCAATTCTTGCTTAAGATAAAATGGAAAATAATAGAACATAACACTTTCAAGCCAGAGAATCGACGGTATCTAATCAATGTTGACCCCTTTAAAATTATTTTTTTTTAATGAGGGGTCACTAAAAGTTACGACGAAGAAGATGTAGAATAAAGCAAAACTAAATATTTAGCGAATGATACTATTTATTCTATCTGCAGTTAAGTTTCTGAGAAAGCATTATCCAAAGATGCCATTGAACTATTAAACTGCTTTCTCGCTGGAAAAGCTCTATGCACACTTCCATTTTTTTTATTTTCTGCGCACACTCCCTTTTATTTCTAAATTTTCTGCGAACACTCCCTTTTATTTCAATATTTTCTGCGCACAAATCTTTTTATTATCAAATGTTCGCGTACACTCCCTTTTATTTTTAAATTTTCTTCGTACACTCCCTTTTATTATTTAATTTTCTGCGTAAACTTCCTTTTATTTTTAAAAACTTTTCCACTGCCTTTCCTGAGGAGATTCGGAATAGTGATTTCTTTCCTCCGACGGAGAATATAAATTTTCATTGTTTCCTACTCCATTCGCTCCACCCCCTCCTCCTCCACCTCCACCATCCTCTCCTGACATAATGCCAGGGATCTGAAAAAAATGGAAAAATCGTGTTTAGTTCGAAAAGGCAGGACTGGGAAGACATGTTTCAACATTTTAAAAGAAATGAAATTACTTTACTTTCTTTGTTTATAGTGTGTGTGTACGTTTTTCCTTACGAAAAAGTGCTCTTTAAAATTAAAAACAAAAAAATTTATATGTTTATGGGCCCAATGTTTGTAAAAAAGGATATTTACAATTGACCTATAAAGTCAAGTTAATCACAGAATGTTTATAATCATAATTCTTTAAATTGTTGATTAATTGCTTTTAAGGAACTGTCCTTGTAATTTTAATTTATTCTCATTCTTAAAAGGAGCACGCCTTAATTACAACATAAACTTTGAAACGATTAATCATTTTCAAGAACAGTCGTTATTTTCCTGCAGCTTAATACATGTTGTATTCTAATAATCTTTCCATTGTGTGTATGGCAATGGAAATGCGCAGTGCGCAAGTCACTTTTGCAGAGAAACCACAAAGTAAATTAAACAGTTGTCCCAAAAAACAACAAATATAATTCATACTTAATCAAAAAGCTTTTGAGGGTACCGTTGTAATTCGGATATGCCACTCTATTAATGGTGGCTCACTTGAAAGTACGTTTACAGAGTCCGGGGGTCTATTTAATTCCATTTCTGATCCCAAATGGGATCGGGGTTGAAAGTACATTTAGGGGCATGAAAGTACACTTTAAATGTCATTGTGAACTTTGACAAGTTTTTGTGCACGTACGTGTACTATACTTTAGAAATGTGTACTTCATTTGGGGTGTTAAAAGATGTAAATATTAGTATTTAATGTAAGAGATAAATTATAACATACAGAAAAATAAACACTTCCTTGCAGTAAACATTCTGCAGTATGGAATTTTTTCTACAACTTGACATTATACTTCCAATTGTTTACGATAACAACCTGGGTTATTTCTGCCCCTAATATCAATCAATCAACATTTGGGATTGATCAGATGGATTTATATGGACCACGCATTGAAAAATAAGTTTTTCGGTTGTAGACACTAATTTGGAATTTCAACCGGGATCAACTATACTAGTTCAACCGGCTTCAAAAAGAGCGAAGCAGTTTCCAAAATCTGAACATTTAGGGCCATTCCATGACAAATAAAATAAATCATTTTAAAGTCTATAAGCTGACTTAACTTCCATCAAATGAAAATAAGTTCAACTCTTATTCATAAATTCCCATCTCTGAATTATTTGATGATACGAGCTGGGTCTAGTCTTTGAATTGACTCCGGAGCCTCTCCTGATAGAATGAGCTGAGCTAATGCTTCTCCTGTAGCAGGTCCCTGTTCGGTCGGATACAATAAACATGAGAACTGAGCAGGGGTACATTTTAACAATTACAAAAATTATCACCATTATGTCTTGGCGAAACATATGAAACAGAACATGCACGTTTGATGAAGCTACTAAACATATCAAAATACAAAACATATCAATAAAAAAACATATCAAGTAAAATATATCAAAAACATAACATGACCAATCATATTGAGTAGGAACTAATTTTCATTTTAAATAGAAATTGGACAACTTTAAGTGGTATGAGTTAAGAAAACTTTGAGACTAGCTTTTATTAAAAGGTGAACTATAATGTGCAAATGAGAAATCCGCGAAATTCAATAAAATTTTTTACATATTAGTTTGGTTAAAACTGTGAAAGCACTGCAAAGCAAATTATATTTCCCTCTCATAAGGCCGGGAACAATCCTATTTTGTACGTTTTATTCCTTAAAATTGGAATTTGGCATTCAAAAAATCAAAATTGTCTAAAAAACATAGCATGGAGGTGTATTTATCCTCATGTTTAATTGAATTCCCTGTAGAATTCCCCAGCAAAAGTGTCCCGCTGCGATATATAAACTAGTAAACCCAGGAACCAAGCCTAAACAAATTTAAATAAAAATAAAAAATTCATTTCTGTTTCAAAATCATTTTTCTCCGCCAGAATTTCCACTTGCGAGAGGTCCATTTTTCTGACGCATTCCAATACAGGGCCGGGTATTTATTTTCAAGAATATACCAAAGGAAATGGTTTTTATAAAACGCAAATTCACCTTTTTTGATACCGTTTACAACGCAAACTCATTTACTATCCCTAATTCAGCAAATAAAATATTTAAACATACCTAACATCTGTGAGAAAAATATTTATTGAGAGGGAGGGGATGATTTATTTTATAAAATAAACAGAATATGATAAAATATTTTCCGAAAAATCATCTGCAAATACTTTCTACTTTTATTTAAACCTTCACCTACTAAAGGTTTATGATCCTTGACAGTTGGAAGATAGCATGCACTTGTGGACTCCTCCTTCAGTCCTGAGAGTGAGGATGAGACCCGATAAGCAGCCTGGAGTAGATCAGCACACATCACAGGGTTAGATACAACCAGGGCCGGGTCCGCGGGAAGAGGTTCTTCATCTTGTTGTCCGCAGACGTAAACTGTTCCGTCAGGACGGGGATAAACCTCCGTCTCGCCGGCCGGAAGGGACAAAAATAGCGCGGTATCGTCCACTCGTCCAGGTTCCGGTTTAAGAACTATGCTATGAGCTCTTTCACCAGAGATTATTTTCGATTTACCGAACCATTCGAGTCCAAACCCGGTCCATGGTCCCATGGTTAGTATCACAGTTTCTCCGGGTACAGTTTCACCACTTTCCAGTAGCAAGGAGTTTATCTTCTTCTCGGAGTAGTTAGCTGCAATCACTCTACTACGGAGTAATTTAACTCCTTTCTCCTGAGCTTTCGACAGAAGTGCTTTGGTTGCCAAACCTGGGTGAACTTGTGCAGTTGTACCTTTAGTTCCTAAAACACTTACGTTTGACACCTGACCATCAACCCATCCTGGAGCTGTGGCGTCTCCGCGCCCGTCCCCACTCCCAAGATTAAGGGACAGAGTGTTCACATGTCTGTATCCGATATCAACTCCTAGCTCTGCAGTCAGCTCGGAGTAAATCTCAAAACCACGAATTGCTAGAGCTTGCGTGGGTTGGTTGTTGCACCAATCCCTGGCTAGAAAACCGCCGGCGCGACCAGAGGCGGCATGCGCAACATCGACAGCTTCAATCACAATAACGTTCGTAAATCCCGCCTTACTAAGATAGTAGGCGGTGCTGCAACCAACAATACCGCCGCCAACAATTAGAACTGGTTGATCTTTAGGCACCATTGTTCCTGAAAATTAGAGATATTATACCAGCTGAAATAAATTCAACATTCAAAAAATCCGACTCAACTCAAAACATATGACAATTGACAAAATAGCGATACCTCCTTTTTACAATTTAATTTCAACAATGAAATATTTTCATTGATCGAAACAAATCAAAAAGATCAAAATTGACTAACTTATTTTGTCGATTAAAAGAGAGCTCTGCTTTTGGTGGGCCCAATTGGCCTCCGATGTTATTGTTCAATGTTTTTATTTTGTGTTTAACACCAATGCCGCGACAAGTTTTTAATATTTTTATAATTATCAGGGGCACATCGCGCATTGTCTCTCTAAACATATCGCCGGAAAAACATCAAATTACATTTACAACGTTTGTTTTGATGAAATGATAAAAAGTTATTTGTTAATTGTTGTGTGTTGAAAAGAGTGTTATTTAGAATAAGATTCAATAATAACCTCATCTTTAAATGTAATCATTATTTTTTTTGGTAATTTCTGCCTATGTGAGCATGGCATTGGCATACATGACCCCAGGGAGGGTCTATGTATGATGAAAATGATTAAATTTTGTAAATTTACGACATATTTTGATAAAATCCGCGAAATTTTTTGTTTTAAAATGTATTCAAAGAGAAAATGTTCACAATAGAAATAAAAGATCGGCGTGAAGCGCTCTAAAAGCCTAGTACTATAATATTCAAAAAATCTATTATTTATTCTAAGAAAATGTTAAAAGTAGCCTTATGCACTTTTTATAATGATTCATTGTTTTTGAATTTTCTGATAAGTTTCTAAAATCACAATTCAGAGCTGGGACACGCTGTATATACCCCTGGTGATAACCTTTAAAATGTTCCAGGAAAGGATTTGTACTTACTTCTGGAGGTTGAACCTGAAGCTGACGAGAAGACGATTAAGAAAGCGTACAGGAAGAAAGCTCTCACTTGCCATCCGGACAAAAACCCTGATAACAAGGTTGTTAATAAAGGTGTATACATTTTCTTAAGAAACCATTCCCACCTTTTAAACCATTCTCCTCTAGTTTGTTGATAATATTCTGCACCTGGGTGGGGGGGGGGGGGTGTTGGATATTATTGAAATATTCACTCCTATTATTATTTTAGAGTGTTAAATGATAAATCTCAACTGTTGCATTTGTGCATAAAGTGATTACAACTAAATGCTGAAGTATTATTATTATTTTTGGTATAATTAATATTTTAAGGACGCTGTTGCCCTCTTCCACGAGCTGTCCGATGCTCTAGAGGTGTTGACGGATCCTAGTTCTAGGAAAGCATATGATACTGTTCTTAAAGCTAGGAAGGCTAATGAGCTGAGAATCAGGTAGCGACAAATTTTTTATTTGTTTTATTGGTTGGTTAGTTTACGATACAATTGATTAGACCATTGCTTTATTGAATTGTTATTAATCCAGTGGTTAGATATAAACGGTTGACTACAAGTTGAATGCTGGATTTGGATGAGGTTATTAATTGATTAACAAGTTCTTAAATTCATTGATATGTAATTTAGTGTATTTAATAAGTTTTGGTTTTATTATTTAATTGATTATTTATTAGTTTGTTGATCAGTAGAGCAGTTTTTATTAGATTATTGAATGATTTGTTTTCATTTGTTCATTTATTGAATAATTAATGACTTACTTGATTGATTGATTGATTGATTTGGTTGATTGATTGATTTGGTTGATTGACTGATTGATTGATTGATAATGTTAACCTGTTGATTTACTACTTGGATTAATTCCCGAACAATTGATAAAATTGATTAAAATCCCAGAGCTCTGGATGGAAAGAGAAGGAAGTTAAAGGATCAATTGGAGCAGAGAGAACACGAGGCAAAGTTTGAGGAACAGTTTACAAGGTAATCAAGGGGAATATATTTTATTTACAAAATTAACCCCTTCAACTGCCTCTCTACAACTCTCTAAAGGCGTTTTTTTTTCAGTGTTTTTTATGGCAAAATTTTTTTGACGAATTTCGTGAAAAACACGTTTCTGAAAGAGGGGGAAAACTCTTTTTTGCACCAGAAGTTCTTAACTTGTCAAACTTGATCAAACTGCACAGAACAACATACCTCCCTGAAGGCAGTCTGGGGGTTCTATGTCGATCTATTATTTAGACCTATCTAATAATTCTTATTTCTCAAGCTGTTGTTCTTTAACAGTAATGAGTCGCTAAAACAAAACTCTAAATTTATGTGTTTTTTTTTAAAATAAATGATAATACACTTTAAATTAATTTTAGGAAATCTGATGAAGAAAAGCTAGCCATGGAAATAGAAAGATTAAGAAGAGAAGGCTCAAAACAACTGGAGGTAAAGAAAAAATATTTAATTTCAAATAAGTTTCTTCAAAAGTTTCAAACATTGCAAATGCAAATTGCAGTGTTAATAGCTTGATAATTTATTATTATTATTATTATTTTTGCAATTTCATACATTTTTGTAAAAATTTGCTTAATTAGGAGGAACAGCTTTACATGAGAGAGCAGCTGGCCAAGGAAGCAGCTGCGGCAGCATCTGGAGGTGAGCAGCATCGTGGCAGAGAGCAGCCTGCTAGGGTCAAGGTCAAGTGGAGTAAGTCCGATGATTCTCCATACACAAGGTTAATTTCTGATGACAACAAAATTTAACTAACAGAAAGTTTTTGAATAAGATTTTTCATCGGTTTCAATAAGTCATGTTTGTAAACTTCTTTGTATGTTTTTCTTTGTTTAAAGTAGTGATGGTTGTAAACTTCATGCAAAGCATTAAGTGACATTTCTATTTTGTTCTGAAGTGCTAATGAAAGATTCTTTTGTATATATTTTTTATTTTTATTTTATTTTTTTTATTTACTACTTTCAGTGAATCCCTGGAGAGAATATTCAGCAAGTATGGAACTGTATCAGCTGTAGTTATAAATAAGAAGAAAGGTGGCAGCGCCCTTGTTGAGTTCAACGATCTGAGCAGCGCCAAAATGGCCTCTACTATAGAAACCGGTTTTGTCGAGAGTCCGCTCAAAGTAAAAGCTCTGTTTTCCGAGGAAGCAAGTATCCCAGTACTAGCTACACACACAGATTCTAGAACGATACCTCAGGATAATGATTTTGAGAGTTTAGTCTTACGGAAACTAAGGTGAGAAAAACGACAAAAATTTTTCAGATATCTTGTTAAATTTTTTTTATATTTAGACAAGAAGAGGAGAGAAAGAGATTGATAGCACAGATGATCGCTGAAGACGAAAACTCATAGCGCGGCATTATTTTTACGATATAAATCAATCAATCAATACGATTAGCGAAATCCTTGAAATCTTTTTGTTTCAGAGTACACAAATATAATTCAAGATGGACGACGAGGTTATGAGGTTCGAGATCACGGACCAGGATCTTGAGGATGAGATGACCTCCAGCTACGGAAAGAAAAGGTGTAATATTATACAATAACAACAACTCTTTTTTATACAATTTAATTTTCTCTTATTGTTTGTTTTTGTAGAACGAGTAAAAATAAACAGATTTACGGAGTTTGGGCAGATAAAAGCGATAGCGAGGTATTTGTAAATAATCTTATAATGTTGTTTAGATTGATTTCAATTAAAAAATAAATAATCAAATGATCAATTAAAATAATACAATTTATTTGATTTGATTAAAATTGATTTATGAATTAGATTTTTAAATTAGTTGTAAAATTTATGATTTTAGTTAATTAATCTTTTTGATCAATTTCCATTTGATTTTTAGTTAATTGATCTTTTTTATTTTTTTATTTGATTATTTGATTTTGTAGGAGGACGAGGGTCCGAGTATAGGAAGTTATGCTGGTACAAAGCGTGGGAAAAAGGTTGATTACACCGCTTCTATGAACTTCGTATCAGCCGGGATAGCAGGGAAAGAAAAGGTTAAAAGTAACAAGAAACTATTAATATAAAATATTCTAAATAAATTTTTAAGTTCTCCTCAGAACTAATTAATTAATGATTTACAGTAGTAGTAGTAATCACAAATTTTTGAAATTTGGAATTGTCATTACTGATGGCACATTTTTAGACATCTTTTTCAAATCCCTATACCCAATGCTTTATTTTGAACAAGTTGGAAATCCATTATTTTGATATTTTTAACAAACGCATTTTGAAGCATGTATTTATTGATAAATTTATTCAATGCAGATAGTTAGTTGTGCTGATTATCTTTTTTTTCTGACCACCCTGTATTTACTTTTTTCTGCTGGGTCATTTTTAGAAATAAAGTCGGTTGCAAATTACAAATTGAAAGTAAAATGAAAGAAGGGAGACGATAATTAGTTTAATGTTTATGGCTACCTTTGCATAAACAAACATAATAAATATACATATTTGATGAGATGATGTTTAGAAGAAGGAAGGAGATGAAGAGGACGAGGAGGGAGGAGAAGAGATGAGAGCTAGGGGTATAGAGAGTGGAGGAGACTCAAGTGATGATGACAGGCCAAGGTATCATTTGTTTATCCAGGTACTTTGCAGGAGCAGAGGGAGAATGATCAATGTTTATGTATTCAGTTTTGTTCGGAGGATCAAGATTGAGGGAGGAGGATCAATATTCATTTATTTCTTTAGGTTTGTAGGATCAAGGAGAGGTGAAGGCTCAATATCAGTCTATTTTTTTTAGGTTTGGAGGATCAGGGAGGGAAGGATCTAAACTTAATTATTTATATGGGTTTGATGAATTTAAAAGGGGTTTAAGATCTATATTGATTTATTTATATAGGTTTGGAGGGTCAGGGAGAGATGAAGGATCAATAAAAGTTTATTTATCTTTTTGGAGGATCAGGGAAAAGTGTAAGATCAATACTAATCCATTTATCTAGATTCGTAGGATCAGAAAGGGTGGAGGATCAATACTGATCTACATACTGATCTATTTCTCTGGGATCCGGGAGGAGTGCAGGGCAGCAGGATCAATAATAATTTATTTATCTAGGTTCGGAGGATTAATAATAATCCATTTATCTAGGTTCGGAGGATCAGGTCGGGGTGGAGGATCATTCAAAACTAATCTATTTATCTAGGTTTAGTGGATCAAGTCGGAGTGGAGGGTCAGTAATGGTCTTCTTATCTAGGTTTGCAGGATAAATATAAATTTATTTTTCTAGGTTAGGAGGATCAGGTCGGGGTATAGGATCAAAACTAGTTTATTTATCTAGGTTCGGAGGATCAGGTCGGGGTGGAGGATCAAAACTAATCTATTTATTAAGGTTCGGAGGATCAGGTCGGGGTGGAGGATCAAAACTAATCTATTTATTTAGGTTTGGAGGATCAGGTCGGGGTGGAGGATCAATGTTTACACCTCGAGCTGCTGGAAGAATGGAGGATGCTGGACAGATTGCAGGTAATTATCCAAAGGTCGAGAAAGGAGTGAAATAATATATATTGTTTTATTATTATTATTTTAACCATTCCATTCCTTTGGGGGATTTTTGCGCCATCAAAATTTCTAAAACAGAAGAAAGGAACTGAAAACTTGTCACAAACTCAAACTTCTTAAGAAAAAATCAACACTGATTAACTGTTTTTTTTTCATTATAAGTTTTATTCATAAACCATGGATTGAAATAATTAGATAAAAAAGTTAAAAAATTATATGAAGAGAGTGATTTTGTAAAGTAAATATATATATAAAAACTTCAAATATTTTTAGTAGAAGAAAAATTGTTTTTAATTAAGGAATGCGAACACAGAATTTTTTCCAGCCACAAAGTCTTGGAAAGGGGTTCGGAGACTGGGAAAAACACACGAAGGTAGATAAGATAAGATAAGATAACGTTTATTGCTAAAATAAATGTATCTGTATACAGATAGAATATTTATTGATTTATTTTC